CTTTGGCAAACACTAGTACAAAACCTAGTTCCTCTTGCTGGGCAGCGTAATTCCTATCATCTTTACTGAGAATGCAAGATAGTGTTCAGTTGTTCCCCAATACATGAACTTAGAACTGCAGCTTCAGTTACCTAGCTGGTTACCTATTCAACTTGTGATTTGACATTTTCCTTGAAAATACTTAAGTGAGCATTCTGTGTTCCTTAAGAATTTTAATTTTGTACAATAGGTAAATAATATGATTTTACTTTTTTGGAAAAGAAGTCATCACTACAATACTAACAGGTTTTACCACTGCAGACATGTGACTTGTACACACAGGAACAGATTTAATAGCTATATGAGCTATGAGATGTTTTGCCTCTGTGTCACATGACCTCTGAAGCTGTTTTAATTAAGGGAAATAAATCAGGGAAAGGAGGGCATGTTTATTCAATATATCCAACAATGGCTATGGATGGCAGAGGCTGTGTTTGGAGTAAAGAAGGCCCAAAAAGCACCCCAACGCTTTTGACATTGATTATGTCTATATTTAGTGTAGCACCTTAATAAATGCAGTTTTTGGAAACAAGGTATAAGCATGAGAGCTGTCCCCAAATATACCCTGCTTAACCACACTAGAAACTCATAGGCCTGACATTTAACAAGTGGAAATAAGAACACTCCTGAACTAGCACATCCCTGTATGTTAGTATACGTAGGTAGGGACAGAGTACAGTATGGTCTGATTTACAGTGGCACTGCCCACACCAATCAAGCATCAAATAAGTTCCAGGCAGGAAGTGGAAAATGAATGTGCATGCCAGAAAAATGGCTCTAGATTATGAGCAGTGAGGCAAGACACAATGTACAAGGCTAAAATAAGCAGATAATGGACACATGTGCTACAGTGCAATTATATCATTAACAGAACTTTTATCCTGTTTTATAACTGAGGCACACTGATCTCGTGTTAGTCAATTATTGATGTTCCTTCATCAGTAGAACAGTAAATAATTACTAAACAGAAAGAGAAGTCTTCTGAGTATATGCAGAATGGTTTTTTTTTCTCAGCACTGAACACAGTCACATGCAGGCCTTACAAAATGATGGCACATCTCCCACAAATTAAAACCTAGCCCCTCATTCTTTAGAAAGCAGGCCTCTGTCATTGCCAGGGAACACATACATCTGGTTCCTTTCCACACCATTTCTCATTTGCCCTTTAACTTGCCTTTAGCAACTCTTCACAAAACTCCAAACTGTTTTTCCTCACAAGTCGCACCCCACCTTTCTTCCTTCCCCTAGCTCTGACCTCCTTCCCCTAGCTCTAAACTGGGGTTTATCAGTTGAGTCATCACACTTTTCATTTTGGATCAGCTCTTTCACCAGCTTTATATAGCTGTTAAACTAGATTTGTGGTACCCATATTGAACCTTGTGGAATGCCACTATTTAACTGCCCAAGGGCCAAACCCATAGCCCAAATGCCACCTATGTGATTGGAAGGAAGGAGATCAAACCAAAATGGCCTTGAGAACATTTTTCAACTGCCTAAAGGGTTGCCACACAGGAGGACAGCAACCTGCTCTCTGTCACTCAAGACTCAAAATAACAGACTTTTAAGTTACAGGAAAGCAGATTTTAGTTGAACTCGCTAACAGTCAGAGCAGTCATTCAGTGGGACCAACTGATTGGGAAGGTGGTGGGCTCTCCATCATTGGAAGCAGAGACTGTACCATCATCTGTCAGAGATGATTTAAACTGGATTCCTGCACTGAACAGGGGACTGGACTCAATGGCCTAATCAGCACCTTCTAACTCCATGATCTGATGCCAGGTGAAACCCACAAAGAACCAGAGATACATATCTATCATTTCCACCCTGCTTCCTTGAACCCTTTTGCTCATTTCCTATATTTAGATACTTTCTGTTCTCCATCTTCAATTTATATAGATCTCACTTAGAGCTATAGCTGGGATCCCCAATCTCAGTCAACAGGAAGGGAGGGTGGTGACTCCATATAGCAACCTTTCAGTTTTTATGCAAAAAAAATCCAATACATCCAATTTCCAGTGTGTCAGTATCATTGCAGAATGAGGTTATCTCTGAGCTGAATCAGGGCTGTCCCAGCTGAGTCAAGACTGTTCAAAGGCAAGGAAACTTGGAACCACTGCCCTGAAGAAAACTTACTCTATGTCTTGTTGTCAAAAGATTGAGGTGGCTGATTGTGACAGTCAAAAAAATGAAAGCTTTTCCTATGCAGTCACAAAATGGAGTGAGTTCCATATCACCTGCATATGTAGCAAGGTCCTATTTTAATTCTTGCCCTATCTACAATTCAGTCCCAGTACAGGACTTCAATATATAACAGTCCTATATTTTGTTTTGATAACCTATCAAACAAAATAAAAACCATTAATCCTGACCCCCCATAGCTCTACTGTCTAACATCAGTTTTCTAACATGTGATTATTCAGTTGGGCCCTCTCAATATAATTTTGCAGTCACAAAGCAGCTCACTGAGCTGTTTGGATGTAACAGTGACATCTGTCAGCAATTTATGGGTTATTTAACCCAATATTGTGCAAATGCCTGAGCTGTACCTTGTTTCCAGTAGCAATCCTTGAATGCTGCATTCAAACCTCACAGGCTTGGGGTTGCTTGTGGGAATGCAGCATTGAAGCCTGTACTGAAAAGAAGTGGGTCACGTGTGTCTCCCCACCAATATGCGTCCCCACAATTCAGGGGCTAATTAAAATGTGAATTGCTGCCAGATGCTGCTGTTACATCCAAATATCTATCAGTCTGAGTCTTTGGAGGGTAGCCTATGCTACTTCCAAATCAGAATTATTTTGTTACTTTTCACTTTTTGATCCTCTCTCTCCTGCTACAAATTCCACACAACAATACCTTGATACTAATGTTTCTTTAAATAATAATTTAGCAATGATTATATTTCATATGAACTGGTGTGTGCTACTTAGGCATGCTACATATTTGCAGTTATGCAGGTAGGACTAGACCCTGGGGCTGAAGTGCAGGTCCCCAAATGGCTACCCTGAGAGCAGCAGGGAATCAGCAGAAGCAAACATACTTTTTATTTCTGCTGTCATGATGGTTCTACAATTTAAGTGAGTTTATAAGGCAATACTGAGCATGTATATAATTACTTTTTTGTATCAAGCTTGACAAACTATGTCAGCTTTTGCTTTTCTAACATATCAGGAAGGCATGCATGGAATGGGGGTTGGGGTTTAAGAAAAATGTTAGTTGTGCACTTCACATAGACATCTAAACAGAGATCTCATAGAACCCTTAAATCCACGGTTTAAAATTACAGAGTCGACATCTTTGGAGATGCAATTTTAGTAGCTCTTTGTTCCTCGCCCATCCGTCCTCACACATGCACACACTGTTCTGGAACTCAAGTGTAAAAGGGCAAGATGTAAGCTTACATTTTCACTACTCATGACTAATTTTTCAGAGCCTACAATGAGTTCACTGTGTGGACTGCATTGTCATGTAACTGGTGCTGCAAGTCACAGTCTGCCCAAGCTTCTTCATTTGCAAATACAAGTTACTAAATAAAGGCAAAACAAAGCTGAACAAGATGAAGGCTCAATCCACTCATGATTATCTTAATTAATATGAAAAATATTTCCATAAAAATAACAACTTTCCAAGTTTGGACAAGACTGGTATTCTATAATAATAATGACTTGCATAATGCCTTCATATAAATAAATGATGTCATCACACTTGCAATATTTCACTCTTCTAGTCACTATACCTCCAAAAGAATGAAAGACATGTAAAAAAATGCAGCCTACATGAAACAATTCTTGTAACATCCCTATGAGGAGTTTACAATGTTTGGAGTTATTTAGTTTAGTAAAAAGGAAACTAAGAGCATTTGGGCATTTGAGCATTTGATAGAGGTTTACACAAACTTGCATGATATAAAGAAAGTGGACAGGGATATGAAATTTTCTTCCTTTCATAATACTAGAACCCAGAGTGATCCAATGAAGATAATTGGTACAAAATTCAGAAAAGGCACAAGGAATTACTTCTTCATACAATACATAATATTTGCTACCACAAGTGTACTGATGGCAACCAATTCTGGTCAATATTCAGTGGTGTATTTCCAGAATTTCAAAGTGCTCTGCCAAATCTTTCCATTCCAGAAGTGGTTGTGGAACTGCTTATGCAACTGCCTGCTCAGATGCACTTGTGTAACCATGTTTGTGTTGTGCAAACCTAACTTTAGCTGGATTTTCTTCTTTGCATAATTCAGAAACTAGTTTGGAACATCATTTGCGACAGCAGAATGACACAGCTGGATACTGCCATCTGACTGCATCAGGAGGGGGAGGAGGACATGGTTATCAACAGCTACTAGTCAAGATGGCTATTTTTTACCTCCAGGATCAGAGGCAATATGCCTCTGAATACCAGTTGCTACTGCCCACGTGTTCTGCCCACATCTTCTCATACGGACCTAGTTGGCCACTGTGCAACACAAGATACGGGACTAGTAGACCTTTGACTCAGCGGAATTCTTTAGTTTTTACTGTTTGAAAGCAAATGCTTATTCGAGCTTAAATTAATTATGATAACCGGATGTTTCAGCTAACTCTCTGTAAGCCCTCTGGGACTAGTCTGCATTCCACTATATCACTTCAGTTTCTAAACTAGCTTGTTATTGAGCTTTACATTGATATCCTGTTATCAATGTACCCTGGTGTAGAACTGCATTCCTACTTTCAGAACATTTTGTGTGTTTTCCCAGGCAATACACTTGATTGAGGTTACATTAAATATTTGAAGTCCAGTATCTGAAATGAGATTACATTAAATATTTTCATCTTAAACCAACAAATACTGCTCAGCAATCAAAACCCAAGGATAGAATGGAAGAGAAAGGACCCATCCATATTATGCTCTTGCATTGTTCTATAAATAATTGCTATTGTTCTAATCCACAATATGTATGCCATATAGAAATGCCTTACCCCTTCTTGCTTAGTGAAGAGTTTGAGACAGTTACTTAGGGCCTCACAAGTTTCTCTTGATGTTTCAGAGACTTCTTCCGCTTTACTGAGAAATGAAGATGGCACTCCTTTAAAAAAGCACAGGTATTTGTGTTACTAATTTCTTCTACCTCCTACTATTTTAACTTGTAGCATATACAAGTTTCAAAATGTATAATTAAACTATCTTGCACATGGAAAACAGAGAAGCTCAATACATCAGCCTTATTTTAAAAGAGGGGTAGACAATTTATTGCCCTTCAGTTTTGGCTAACAACTTTCAATATTGGTGAAGGATTATGAGAGTCTGCAACACAAAACATCTGGAGGGCCATAAGTTGCCCACACCATTCTAAAAGGTCACACTGAATATGCTTGATTTCTGTGGCTTGAGAAAGCAGAAATCTTGTTAATGAACAGCTAACTGGCTTCTGTTTCAATAAAAGATATACGAGCCACAGGTCTCAACAAGGAGAAGGTTGCACTTACTGAGAAGTGTATTCACCAAGACAATGCTTATGACAAGCCACCAAATTGATTGTCACTGAACAAACAAAAAGTCTGATTTTTTTAATCTGCCACACTAGTTCCTTATACTGACTGGATGGAGCCTTTTCACACAATCCCTAAATTTGTGCCTTGAAATTGACTACTAAAATGAAGAAGAATTCTAAAATCTTATAGTTAAGCTTGTGTTTTACTTGTTTTACTAAAGATTTGCTTGTCAACATATGACTTTATAATCCATTTTTGAGATGTAAAGGTTTAACTAGCATTTCCAACTAAAGTATGAACATAATTTAAAGTAATATTCTGCCCCTCTCACTGACTTCTAGATTGTGATCCATTTGTGTAGCAGTATTTAACTTTTGGAAAAGTACATATTAAATTGCATCAGAGGTAGATGATGATGACTATCATTTCTGTACTGCCCAATAGCTAAAGCTCTCCAGTTACACTGTGTATAACCACTGGGACATTGCAGAAGAAGCATTCTTTTGAGAATGGCATTGGCTAATTTTGCACCTTTGAACAATACCTGGTTGAGACATTTGGGCAGACAGAATTGCAAATGTACTGAGAAACTGATTATGACTGGCTTTTGCCAATTGGACTGAACAGCATTCAAAGAAACAACAGGACAAAAAAAAAGTTACCTTGACTGGTGTCATATGTCTTAATCAAGGAGAGGAAGCTGGAGATCTCCTTATCTAATCTTTGCTGGCATGACTGTGCAATCTGGGCAGGGAAAAATGGGCTATTTAATGTGTTATGCAAAAGCTTCACAACTTAACTTTAGAATATTTAATACGTCCTAGAGATATTTCCTTTTTGACCAGTTGAGCATGGGTAACTGTCTAAGATGACCTGCATCATAATAAAGCTTTGGGCCAAAGCAGATGAGACAGTGTAGATCTGTGGCTGCATTCACTAAACCTGAGGTTTTATTTTTTTAAAAACTGCTGTGGGAGCAACCAAAAGGTTTTGCAAATGGGGCAAGCAGCAGCTTTGAGAGTAGAGGGCTTACTTTGGGGAAATGACAAGGTTTGGCTCTCAGGTCATGGTAAAGATCCAAACTGCATCGCCACTCTGGCTGCCTGTGTAATTCTTATTATTTTAATGCACAGGGGATCTGATTATAGAAACCAGTGTTCGAACAACTTTAGCCTCCTATTTTGAAAAATAAAGTAGCGTTACATGTGAATATGGCAAAACGTTATGTGAAGGAATTATTCCAGCGATATTTCAAAATCAAAATCTTATTATGGTTTTATTTGTAAGAGGCTCGTATATAAACACATTCAAAATCAATGTTAATGCTTTTAAAGTTGTGGCCACATACATTTCAGAAACAATTTCCTAACTTTATTTGCTATTTAACTTTTTTTGCTGGATTGATCCCAAAGGATTGAAATTGGTGAAAGGACTTCTTAATTGACCAACACAGTGACATATGGAAGTGTCAGCATTTCTTATGCAACTCACAAGCCTGCATTTTATTTTGAAAATACAGACTGGTACAAGAAAGGTATTGTGCCTATTTGTATTTTCCAACTTGTAGTGCTAGCATCACTTAAATTGCAATTCAGGAGAAAGACTCATTGTACTTAATGAGATGTGTTCCTCCTGAGGAGGCTTGCCAAGGACTATACTAATAAATAGCTAATAAATTAATCCAGAGGTTGTCTTAGTGATCAGCCATGGTGGTAATCCTTTTTAATAAGCCATTATTATACTTTATTAAAGCCTTTATTTTATCATTAATTTTTGAGTCCATTTATTCTCTGGGAAATGCCTTTATATTTAGAAAGCAAATATTATGCATGACTTCAATTTCTGAACTAAAGTTATGTACTGCCAAATGCCTGTATTCTAGTTTCCAGAAGTACAATAGTTTCAAGGTGACACAGCTGATACTCAAATTTCAGAGCATAAATTTTTAAGGCACCAATGAAGGAAGATAGACTGGGCAGAATTATTCACTAGCTGCCATGAAATGAGCAATATGCTGTAAGGTTTCTCTAGAAATGATCTACAGCAGAACAACAGCATGTACTGGCACTATACTGAGCTATGTCTAGAGTTTTGTCTCAGGTATAGGCCTTGAAAGAACTGTGAACTACAAAGAAAGAAAATGAGGATGTGGTAGAGACGAACAGGGCAACAATAAAAGGAAAGAAAATGGCTTTAAAATAATCAGGGAGACAAGCAAAAAGGCAGTGAAACATGCACAATTCAAAGCAAGTGGACAAATACATACAAAGAGATTAAAAGGTCAAAAAGCCAAGGAAATGCATGTAAACATGTCTAGCTAAATAATTTAGCTATCTGGGAAGAATGAACATAAAAGGGTTATACTATATTTGGGGTAGTTCCCCTTTCTCTGGTTGTGTGAACTTTGTTATGCACCCATTCCCAAATGCTGAAATGTGTGGATAACACATTCTTGATAAAATGGCACCTTCCATATTTATTAACGATGAGGTACAGACCATCTTCCAGTACCTGTGTATTCATTGTACCATCAATTCTTCATTATGTGCAGGTGTAGCTGCACACATTCAAAAGGAATCAACTCAGTCTCTGTCTCTATTATTATTGTTACATTTATATCACAATAAATCTTTTCCCTTTTATAAGGAATCCAAGGAAACTTACATGGTCTTTCTCCGCTCTATATTACCATCACAACAATCCTGTGGGGTTGGATTAGGATGAGTTAGGTTACTGACTGGCCCAAAATCATCCAGTTAGTTTTGTGGCCAACTGGGAATTAGAACCTACATCTCCTGAGTTCCATTCCAGCACTAGTATGCACACTGGTCCTCAGTGATCCAATCCTCAGTTCTAGACAGCAAACTGGATAACTTGGAGCTTAATTATTTATTCCACTGTCAAAGATAGTATAAACACAGAGTATAATCTGAAGCTAACAGAAGTCCTTGCTCCACTCAACCCAGCAGTTCTGCATAGAGTGATAAGAAGTAAAACAACCTTGACCTTTTATATCAGTGATATAACTTTGACAGTCTGAAGACTTGCCCAGGATTCTGGCTTTCTCCAAAGTACCCATGAGAGAAAGCCAGAACCTTACAAATGTTCTTGTTGCCTACCAGTTAAACTTAGACACTCCTTCCTATTTAAAGGAAAGCCAAGTAACTTTGACAGCATTTAGAGCTCATGGATGCAGTTAGCATAAAGGAAGACTGAGGACACTTTACAGGTATATCAAAGACCCTAATTTTATTCAAACATTCCTTGTCATTGGAGGTATCTTTTCCAATTTGCCACTTGCTTTTCCAAAAATAATGTAGAATAGTGCAAAAATAATTCTTAGAGCCATTCACTCTGAGCTAACCAACCTCACAGGGTTGTTGCTGTGAGGATAAAATGGAGCTATGGAAGCCGCCTTGGGTTCCTCACAAGAGGCAAAAAGCAGGATATAAATGAAATGAAATGCAATAGCAATAATAATAATAATTTATATACCTTTTCATTATACTAAGAGGATTTCTTACAATCAATTGTTTACTCATACTCAGTCTTTAATGTTAACCTTCCCAAACTAACCCAGCCCCGCAAAAATGTCAGCACACAATTCCCATCATTCCCAGCCAGTATGACTAATGTGAATGCTTGTTGGAGAGGATGGGGATTGCAGTCTGATAGCTTTGTAGGGTACAAAGCTGGTGAAGGGTTTACCCAAGTCTTCACAATTTCCAGAAAGGCAGTTATGTTAGTCCATGCAACAAAAATCAAAGGCCAACAAAGTTATTACAGCACAAGTTTATATGAGCTGGAGTCCTTTTCATCAGATGCATCCTAAGCTGTACACACACATGCAGTTGGGGTGGAGCTGAGAAGTAAATAGCAAGCTCAGACAGAGATGCAGGAAGTATAGACTGTGACAGTTAAATCATTGGCAGTGGCTATTCACAAAACAGCTGCTGATGAAACTATATCCTGGCACTGGATAAGCTAATTAAGGCTTGCCATACAGCAGGAAAAGCCTTAAAATATTTATTCCAGTTCAAACAAAGCAGTGGGATGCATTCAAAAAAGGGAGATGAGCTCCCTCTCCTGGCTAAAAGTAGGTAACCCTCCATACTCTGGCATAATAAAGCTGCAATTCTATACCCATATACTTGGGAGTAAGCTCCATGGAAACAAATGGAAACATATTTAGGATTGTGCCTAAAAATTGTTACAGTGAAAGGCATGATGTGTTTCATTCAACTTTCACATGGTGTCACTGTAGTAACTTGTTTGCAAGGCATATGGCAGCAGTGGGCAACTTGTAGCCTTCCAGATGCTTTGGAAGAGAACAATCAAACCCACACATAACACTAAAATTTATTTCAGCCTCCCATTCAAGCCATGCCTCAGGCTCTAATGAATTGCTAAAGAAAGGTGCTACAACAGCTGGGAACTGAGATTACCTTCCTTGATATTCTGATGGACAGCATGCCCAGCATACATTAAGGGCAACAGTCAGTGGTTCTTTAAATGCGTCAGGCTTCTAACATTTAATGTCCTTCACTCAAGAGCAGAATATCACAAGAGACGCACTCCTTCCCATGCTGGTATAATACAATTTCATATACTTCATGAGAAGGGAAGACTCACTGGGGAAGAAATTTGGGGGAGAAATAATGCTAGTAAAATTTGAAGGTAGAAGAAGAAGAGGAAGGCCAGTTATGAAATGGGCTGATTCCATAAAGGAAGTCACAGCCTTGAGTTTGCAAAAGCTGAGCAACATTTTGAAGGGCATTCATTCATAAGGTTGCCATAAGTCAGAAACAACCTGATGGCACATAAAACAAATCCCTACCTAGAGGCCAGCCATTGTATTGCCACAAAGTATCCCTTTGGATGTAATGTTAAATAATAATAATAATAATTATTATTATTATAACATTTCTATGCCGCCCCTTGCCGAAGCCTCAGGGTGGCTTTAGCCAAACTATGGTTTGTTTATAAATCTAACCTGATCCAGCTTACTAACCACAGTCTGGGAACAATCCAAGATTGGAACCCATAGTTTGAAGCTGGTTTGTGAAACTGAGTTTCCATAAGTGTTTTTGTTGCTGTTTCTGCACTCAGATGAGTGCCTTATGCTAGTATTTCAACCGCAGAAACTTGGGAAATTTCTACATAACATCAAATACAGACATTTCTTACTTTTAGGGAGTCTTGTAACTCGACAACTGATATTATATCCTCCTCCTCCTCCTCCTCCTCACTCAGTTGTTCTTGAGTACAGTAGTGTGTGCTGTATGCCGAATGTTCTTCTATTGCCTGTGTCCAGTACTAAAAAGGAAGACATGAAAGAAAAAACAGTCTTTGCTATTGTTTTTCATTTAATAAACTAGCATAATAGTTGTTTCACTGAGGACTTACAGTCACCAATAGGTGACAAAAAGGCCGTGGAAGAGCTGCTGTAATGAGACTGGGGTTGTGGGAAAACATCTGTTCTTTAAAAAGAATGGATCTTGAGATAACACATCTCTTCCATTTTGTCTGACAGTACACGTGGCAAACATAAATGACATGTTCAATTAAAACTTTATGAGCCTTAACCAGTGTACAAATTAATATATTCAAGAGTATAGTACTTGTTGAATTTGCCCCTGATGCTCTTCATATGCATATTTTAGAAAGAAAGCTTTGATCCTGCATGTAGTACTGGGGACATAGAACGGAGTAAGTGTTAGCCTTCCATGGTCTTCGGTAAAAGAACTAGTAGGGAAAGTTATAGTGAAGTTAAAAATACTTAGAAGAAAAGTGTTAGAAGAGTAAAGTTTAGTTACTTCCCTGTGAAACATAAAGAACAGACAACATGAAAGTTACAGCTGCACCGTTAATCATGGCAATTCTATTTAGCCCACTATATTTTTTAGTGTAGCTTTATAAGAACTCACAGTTCTGAGAGAGGATTCCTGCCTAGACACACACGGTGATTTCACTCCAGATTCCATTCAACAAATTACCAAGCATTACTTGCACTAGAAACACTCACCTCTCTTGTCTGTTGGTTGTTCTTGGGAACTTTAAAACTCTGAACTGTATTGTCAAAACACTTGATGGAGAAGAGGCAGCTATCTGCACTTTTTACCTTCAACAGAAAGAAGAGACAGCAGGATGGCGAGTTGAACACTATTCCATACAAATTACATCAGTGAAAGTGACTGAGTTACAGAGTATAAAAATAATCCATGTATGGCACCTTGCTTAGTTTTGCATATTGTACAGGCCACAGCACTTAACACACAGAACCCCATCCGCACTTTACTGCAGTGTTTGCAACTCCTTTGTTTATGCTGCTTCTTTTGTTCCAGCTCAGCACTGTGTGACTATATTCCAGGTTATGTCTGGCGATAAATTCTTAGTTTCTCCTAGTTGTTGTAATTATGACTAAAGGATAAGGAAAAGCTGAAAGGTACATTTCTACACTAATTAGTTTTTCTAAGTTTGTTATGGTTGGTAGGGCATCTTATAAAACTACACACTGTCATAGTCATTACCTTATTAGTTTTTTTTCTTTTTTAGAAACTAAGGCAATAGAAGAGACACCCTCAAGGAAGGACTTGGGAACATAAACCCCAATACATACAATATATATTACATCTTTTATTTTATTTAAATGTCATTTTAATTGTTAACAATATTTGCTTATTTATCTGGCCAGGGCGACTTCTTTTATATTTTATATTTTTTATTTATTTTATATTGTTAATTTTAATTTTATATTGTTATTTTTGTATTTTATTGTTTTTGTAAGCCGCCCCGAGGCTTCGGCAAGGGGTGGCATAGAAATGTTCTAATAATAATAAAATCTTTTACTAACCTCCCCACTAACTGCAGAAACCCCACCCTCAAACAAAGACCGTAATAATCTCTGTATAAATCCATAAACAGCAAAGGATAGTAGTTTTTGTTAACCCTTTCATTAAAATGTTTATACTGCACCTTTAAGTTCAAGGTGCTCACAAACAAAACAACACAGTAATACCAAAAATCTGGTAAGTATCTTGGATATTTGCACCTAGGCATTCCATGACTAAACCTCAAACACTAGCTTAGTTTGTGTGCGCGCGCGCGTGCGTGTGTGTGTGAACATATTCCTGAATGCCCAAATTCACTTACTGTGCAAACTGCTTGTGTTAGGTGCTTGCATCCTTGGCGACGATTGCTGTTTCCAATATCAGCCCTTCAAACAGGCAAGTCAAATAGTTAATTGACATAATCCAAATCAATACAGCAGCAGTGAAAAGGTTTTGCGAGATGTTTGATTTCACACTCACTGTTTTTGATACCAGGAGAGGACCCCATGTTCCAGTACTACCCAGTATGGCTTCCACCCAAAAAATCTTGAACTCTTGAGGCAAAAATAGAAAAAGAAGATGGAGGAGGAGGAGGAGACATACAATCCATCAGTTCAATAAAAATGTAAATTTGCCAGGAGTATTATAACCAGAAAGAAGCACTGCTGAATGAAGTAATGCTAAGCAGTACAATCTATATGGATTTAATTTCTCTCAGAGGCTGAAAATATTGAAACTAGAAACTACTGTAGTTTTTGCTCTACTGTACTGAAATGATAGTAACATTTCATTGCAAAGTTTAATTGTAGTCAAACTAAGGACAGAAGACAAACTTCTAGAGTCTACAGTAACATCAAAAACAGGAATGATCTTGATGGCATTGATCATGCAAATGAATAATCATGACAGCAAGCTTTTTTAAGGTGAAAAAGGAAAGATTTCCTTCATATCATTAAGCCCGGTGAAATGCAGAATACTGCTGCAGTAGTTTGAGTGCTGGACTGGGACTTTGGGGTCCAGGTTCTAGTCCTTACTGTGCAATGAGCCCATGGGGTAGCTTTGGGCCAGTGACTGGCCCTCAGCCTAACCTACCTCGCAGGGTTGTTGTGAGGATAAAATGGAGAGGAGGATAACTATGTATTTGCTTTGGGTTCCTTAGAAAAGGAAAATGGTGGGACACAAATGTAGTAATAACTAACTAACTAACTACTTCCCACTCATAATTTGAGAAAATATATTCTCCCTGGGAAAAGCCAGATATTCCACCCGGCCCTGGCCACCAGGTCAGTCAGATGTTTTGTTGCCTTTTAATGCAGTGGTGATGGTGATGAAGATGATTTATTTTTATTTTATTTATTAAAACATTTTTTGCTGATGATAGCGATGGAGCAGATGGGCCATTCTGAGAAGCCTGATCAGAAAATAAGATCTTGTACTGGAGAAAGGTGACAATCTGACTTTTTCTAAGAACCAATCCGACTGCTGATGTTATGATTTCTGCTTTTCTCTGACACTGAATACACTGAATGAATCCTCTATTAGTTGTCTTTTTCCTAAGGCTTGGGATAAATAAAATAAATATGACCAAATAATACAAAAGAGGTGAAAAAGTCTAGGTACCTTCCAGAGTAGTCCTTCATATCGCCTTAGAGTTTTGTTCATCACCTACAAAAGAATTGAGATATTAAAGCTGATCCACATTAATAATCAGTTTTAACACATAATGCTTAAGGGTGTTGGACTATATAGGTTCCAGTTTCCACTCAGCCATGAACCTCACTGGATGATTTGGGACCCATCACTGAGTCCTACCTCAGGTAGGCCTATCCTACCTCACAGGGTTGTTGTTAGATAAGACAAAGAGGGAAGGCTTATGTAAGCTGCTTTGAGTTCTTTGAAGGAAAAGAGAAAGGATATAAATATGCAAATAAATAAAATACCCACCTTCGCAGTGCTCCCTTCAAGTATTTGTTTCATTTCTGCACCTTGGGCTAAAGCAAGGGGTGTCTGACCTGTTCAATAGATAAATACATTTCAGAAGAACTGAACCAGGACTGCAGTAATAGCAAATGTATCCCACAATAAGCCTGTTCTTTAAGGAAAAGGGTAGATGGCTTTCTTGGCTATAGGCATTCCTCAACAGGCATTTTAACCCAAGGTAACTTTTTTCATTTTACCCTTAGATTGATTTCAAAATATTATATGAATATACCAACTCCAATTTTTTAATGTCAGATATATGAAGGTTTCCTTTCCCTTTCCAAAAATGATAAGCAACTATACTACTTTCAGCAAGTTCAAAATGTACTGGCAGAACTGGCTGAGTAAATGGATTTTCTAAGAACTACAACAGGATCAGTGAGTATTTATTTTCTTAACAGCTGGCAGTTATTTACTAGCAGCTTAAATCCAGATTAAAATTCTGTAATGCAAAGCCAATTAATTTACAGATTCCACACTGCTAAAGGACACTATGGCAGATTCAAGGGGATAATATAGAAGTTTGCAGTTGACGTGTCTGTTTTGCTTTTCAGAGGAAAGTGGAACACATTAAAGCTGTGTTACATACCATTTTTGTTCTTTATTTTCAAATCTGCTCCACATTTTAGGAGCTTCAAAGCACACTGCTTGTGGGCACGATATGCTGCACAATGTAATGGTGTGTTTCCCAACTGATCAGTGCAGTTGATGTCAGGAGGATTTGACCTGTTTAACTAGAAAGAGTGATTGAAACATTATTTATTGTGCTTGCACACCTGTAGTGATCTTCCTTGAAACACAGTGGGCAGCCAGTCAGGATTAGGGACAAGAATCTCAACCAGAGCTCCTAGTCATTGGACCAGTTAGGACATCCCTCCCCCGTAACTTTGATCTATTTTGATTTAAGCAGCTGATACTCAGCATTAGGTTTATGGCTCTAAAATGTACGCTAATGCATAATATTGCATATACCAGCACTGTGAGTCTTCCAATTTCTCCTTCTCGTGCAGCTCCCAGGAGGAGTTCCTCGAGTTTTCTTTCTTGAGTCCTTTCCACAGCTAAGCAGAAACAGTTAAGTAAAATAACATCATCCCAGAGGAAACTTATTTTTTTACTGCTAGAGTCCAACGAAATAGGTATCCATTTTTGGGTCTTACTCTCCACTCTGAGCAGCAGGTACCTGATTTAATCATCTTGTGCTCAAATCCTATCACCCTCCAGAACAATATAGGTCAAGTCCAGCTCAGTGGCAGCAGGCATGTTCGCATATAGTTCAAAGGACCCAGTTGGTCCACAATGAATGTTCATTATCCAGGGAACCAAGCCGCCTGAGCTGCCCGGGTTTGGACATGCTCAAATACATGCACAGTAGCTACATTTCTTAGTTACACATACACATTGGAGCACTTAGTAGTTACATTACTTGTGCAAAGGGATAACTTCATGAACTCCTGGAACATTTGGTATATAGAATGTAGATAAAGTCCACATTTTGTGGCAAAAATAATACTAGTTGTATAATCAGAATTATATCTTGCCACAAAATATTTGTTTTTTATTTATTTATTAAAACATTTTTATGCCGCCCCATTCGCCGAAATATGAAATTTCTCTGAACATGAAATAGGGCAAGAGTTTGGATTATTCCTCTGCCTAAGCAACACAATTTCTAAGCATCCCAATGGACAAGCTCCTCTATGTATATTCAAGATGTGAGTCCTTTCAAGAAACTTGTGAACTTTTATGATATAGTGCATCCTGAAAAATGTCTCTGAATTAGCGTGTGTGGTATGTATCTTAAAGCTCTTGTGTATAAAGTGGTTGTAAGATCTAAAAATGTTGGCGGAACAGTCCCCACCTGCCTCCAAAATATTGTCACCCTAAATATCTTTTAAATGCAGCATAAGGAAAATGGCTGAAACCAATGCTATTTTGTATAACAGTGATCATACAGTGATCACCAGTGAAAAATGATTGTTAGTGATCTTTCTTGAGCTTTGGCTGACAGGTTTTACTGCTGTTCTTATTATTGTATCGTTCTAGTTTGCTGCTCTGTAAGTACAATGTTACTTACATTGTAAGTATGATACAAACATTGTAAGTAACAATTTTTTAGTGTTTTATCTTGTTTATTAACTGCCCCAAACTGTTGGGAAAGTGAGATATAAAATGAAAAAACAACACTGTACAAAACACAGTAATATTGTGTTTTGCATAATACATTTTGCAAAAACGGTGGCAGCTTTTGTAAACACAAGTGTCTATGAGGACCTTAAGCACTCACAAGCTACTTGGGCTACTTGCAGCCTAGCTTCCTTCCCTGCGTGTGGTATCTAGCTGTTTTCCTCTTGTACAGGAATACTTCCTCATTATATTGACATCTGTGTCAACTAGTTGTTAAGATATGAAATAACCAGTGGATTTAGTTTCCATGAACTGGTCATAAAGGACAAAAGCTAGAGAGGAAATACACAGTTGCATTATAACAATGGTCATCATATTAAGATGCTATAGCACCTGCTGATGGAGATGAATGAAATATGCCTCTCCTTGTATATATGAAGGTAATGTGCATTTCATACCAATGGGCAGCATATATAGATATACCAAAGAAGAGAAATACTGAATAATTCCCTGGATGATTAAAATGCCCTACCCTTGGAAGTCAGGCAAGCATAAAAGCACCACAGTGAATTAGTGTGTTTTCTGAACCCAGTACTCTTCCCACAGGGTGGTTTATAAGTCTGGGGAGCTTAAAACCACCCCAACTAGATCATGCTACACATATGTTCAAGGCAGACACAGTTTTCATGCAGGTGGTGAAAAGAAGTGCTTTATCACCTCAGCAAAATATTATCCAGGGATGAAAGATCACTGCTTTTCATACTGAATGATGAGACTGAGTTAGAAACTGCAGCCATAAAACATGTTTACTGGAATCCCGTTTCCAATTATATAAAATTCATAAATGATACAAAATAGATACCTTCTAGCATCTCTCTTATTTCTTTATCATGTGTAACTTCTTTTGCAGTTTGCCCATTCCCATTAACAACTGAAGTATCAGCATCGTATTCCAAAAGTAGCATAACCACCTCCTGAAAGACAAATTTAGTGTCCATTATTTACAGAGTTCTCCCAGCTTTTATCTAGGATAGTGTCATGTATTTGCCTTGGAAAATAAATGCCACAGTAATTAATTGGAACACATTCCGGCAGAGTAACCACAATAAATAAATACATAAATCAGGAAGTCGGCAAATGAAAAATAATAAATGGAAAAGTCATGGGGAACGAGGGTGTGTATCTCTGCATTCAAATTATATATTCTAGACAGAACATGTTCATTCTACCTTGCGCCCAGTGAAGGCTGCACGATGCAGTGGCGTGTCTCCCATGTCATTGAGCACATTTACGTCAGCACCAGCCTAGAAATAAAGATGGGTAAATGATACTTGGCATCCAGGTCAGTATCTCACAAAAACAGAACTTGCAGCAATTAGTCGCTGGGAGACTTATTTTGGCCTTCTCTTTTTTGAAAAACCTTTTTAAAGCATATTTCCCCTTTGGTAGTCTAAATAATTTTAAAATAGTGTAAATATATTATTTGTATGGTATAATACATTTATTATATATACCATAAATGTATGGTATATATAAATCTACATTTAGCATGAGAGACTGCATGCTCATGCTACACTTACTGGAATTAAAACTTTGCAAAACGCAAATCATTTGACCAATTTCAGTTTCTGTTGCTCATTTGCTGTTGCTGTGGGACCCAAGCACAAGCTCATTTGTCTTTACTTGAGCTTTAAGCCTTCAGTGTTTGGGAAGGTAACAATTCCAGTGTGCCACTGGACTTCATTACCACCTCTAATCCAGTTTGTTTAAATTGGCTCCTGTTCATTTTTTTTTTCTCAAACGGGTGACCAAGAGGTCATTACAAGCAGCACATGTAGTAGAACTAAACAGATTATGTGTTTTTAACAATTATATAGTCATACAGAATTAAAAATTAGAGTCTGGAACCTGGATTACATTCCTTTCTCCTGCTGGTGGACCAGTGGTTCTTAGTTTCAACCTGGCCCCTTATTCTTCAGACTCCGGCACTCGTGTTGCTTATTTTAGAGCACCAGGATTAATGCAGAAGGATCTTTAATGCAATGAATGCATTTAGGATCAGCAGCCAAGTTGTATCACTCATGATCTATAAGCATGTAACTCAGCCTGAAGCAAGGTCTCTTGATTTCTCCCCATGGTTGCTACCAGTATCAAGATGAGCTGGATCATTTACAAAAAAGGTAATCAGACCACAAGTAAAATTCCAAAATCTGCATTACTGAAGTAGCTTTATTAGGCTCACCAGAAGATAAAAAATATATAAAAGTTCTGAGATGTCCAGATCCCTTTGTCAGTAAGATTTTAGAAAAAGTGGGCTGGAAGTGGGGGAATACAGGAGGAAGAATGACTTGATGGTGAAATTTCGTTTTTGCATGTTCAAAATACCAAGATGGAATAGAGGACAAGGGGCAGGAAGACACTCAGTCAGGCTATGCAAGTTAGTTGCTGCTACTGCTAGTTACTTGTCAGGGCAATGAGCTGCTCCATACAAGGCATTTATTGTGCTCTTGTGATTCCATACCCATGGTTCTTTGTGGGTGCTTTACACTACATCATCACCGTCTGGGGCCCTCCTGTGCTTTCTGAGCATTTTTGTGGCTCTTTTTCGAACAAGGATGAGGATCTATTAAAGGGCTAGCACACTACAAAACACTAAAAAATGTTCATGTCTTTTCACAATTCTACTATCCCATAGAATCACCTGGTGGTTATGTAATGGAACATACAGAAAGGCAAAGAACTGCCCATGGGGTGGTGGCGATAGTAAAGGATCCCATCTTAATCCCACAAATAAGTCAGAAGCTGAAGCCTCAGTAAAGTGTTGGATTAAAACCAATTGAAAGCCTAATGTAGAAAACCCCCAAGTAAGAGAAAAATGTCAGAACCTCTATTTTTTAAAATATAAAATCCAGCCTCCACCCACTACTCACACCTTGCTCTTTATAACATCTTGCCTAATGATGAGGTCTGGTGATCTTGCACATTTGTTGTGATCTTTTGGTTAACCTAATGAAAGTACTAAACAGATTTTGGAATTTTGCTTCCTACATATGATTTGTGCACACAGATATTGTAATTCTGCTGTATCTTTCCTTGCAAATCAAGATCAATGTGTTCTTCCCATACTCTGCCATATGTACAGCCTGAAGAGTCTGCAAATGACCTATGTGTTTTCACTTATGCTAACATTTAAGCTCTTTGAAATTCTGAAGTTCTTTGGCATTTATTTTTACATACTAAATGTTCAACTAGAATGTCTCTTTGGGGAAAAAGATCTATTTCTTACTTCATAGAAATTTTAATTTGCTACACAATATGGTAAAAGTTATACCTTCAGCAAATCCTTGACAACACTGGTATGCCCAAAATAACATGCAAGATGAAGAGGTGTCCAGCCCAAGTTAGATTTGCTTCTGCCTAAAGGTACAAAATAAAATGTGACAAATCCATACTGCAGCATCTCTTCTCACAACCGAAAGCTGAGTTCAAGAAAACTGCCAAAAAAAACAAAACAAAAAAAACCATTCATGATTCTCCACTGCATCAACTTGAAATGTTCTCCATGGTGTCTGATAGATCTGAAACCTTCCCTAACATGGAGCTTTTCAGATATCATCCTTTCATCATCCATGGTGGTAACATCTGGAGGATAACATGTAGGGGAAGGTTTGTATTGTGGTTAGAAGAACCACAGTCAAAGGAGGAGCTTATCGTTCAGCTTAACTTACCTGACCTATTTGTTGTTTGTCATTTTGATCTCTTTGGCAAAGGGCAATTTTTGAACACATACTTTTTGCTTTCATGAGTAAATCCTTTTCTTCAGAAGCATGTCCCCAAGAGTAACAGGTGCTTCACACACTTTTATGCAACGTTACCTTTGTAAATTGTCTAGAGAGGCTTTCTGGCTACAGGTTGGTATATAAATGAAATAAATAAAGTGTGCATTAATAAAGAGCAAGGAGTCAATGTTATCATCCAGTATGAGACGATTCAGCACAACAGAAATCAAAATGTATTAAAAAAAAATTTGTAAGATGGTTTTTTAAGGGGGCTCTCTCAAAGTTCAGAAACAGCAGGGCAAAAATAAAGGGAATGAATTCTAATTCAAGATATATTGTGGGCTGGTTCAGATGACTTGACGCACCATCATGGGTTACTTAATCTTCAAAGGGACATGGCATGTGCCATCTATCATCATGAATATGCAGCTCCCAATTGGGTGGAGGGTGGTTGTTGGGTGTCATGTGAACTCAGCCAGAAAGGATTATTGAAGGGCTAAACAGTGCTTGCATAACCCTAGAACAGACCATGGGTTATGCAAAGTTGTTTTACTTTCTAATAACCTTTCCTGGCTGGACTCACATGACACAGTAACCTCTTTTGGAAGTTGTATATTTGTAAGAGAGGACAGTATGTCCTGAGTGGTGTGGAGATATTTTGGGTACTGTGGATAAACACTTTTCCTATTGCTTTGTTTTTAAGTTACATATTATGGTGTATATTCATATCTGTATTATTGTGCTGATTCTGATTTCTGTTTTTGTGGGGTTCAGTTATAGTAATTTTGTATTTCTATATCTGTGTATGTAAGTTTTGTATTAGGAAGTGAAGCATACAGTTAATAAACACCAATACTATTACTACCACTAAGAAGAAAAATGGATGTCAGGGAGGAGGGTTCTAGCCTAATCTCCTTCTCAGCTGATTTTCTATGTTCAAAAGAAAGGAAAAAATGTTCAGAGGAACATTCTATTATGTGAACACCCAAACACACCTTGAAGAGGTATAGTCTGAATGCTGGTTTATCACCTTAGCAAGATCTAGACATTTGGGAGGACAGAAGAGAAGAAACAGGCTGAAAGCAGCTGTTGTCACTAGGGTTGGGAAGAACCCTTTCAGAACTGATCCTTCTTGAATCCATGGACTTCCTCTCATGCTTGGCCTGGTCCTGCAAAGTAAGATGGGCCCAGAGGGAGTCTGTGAATGCTTGTGGACCCCAGTTGTGCAAATGGCAGCCTTCCCCATCAGATGCAGCTGCCCAGAGAGCAGCTGCAGCATAAGGAAGAGGGTCACAGCGAGTGGTCATGCCAGCTGCCTGTCCCGATGGCCAACCTTCTTCCGTGCTTGGTGCAATTGATGGTGGCAGGGCTGAGCACAAAGACAGCCGCTGCGTGCACAGCATGTGAGGCTTGATTTCTAATGAGCACTCACAAAAAGGGCTAAGGGCCACTCCAAAGTGGAATAGAGATCAGGGAGCTGATGGATTCCCACCCCCAAATGGATTCCTTGCACATCCCTAGTGTTAGCGTAGCATTTCTCTGACGGAATAGATCGCAATCCATCAATGCATTTTTTTTCAAATCATAGCTGATACATTTGCAAGTAGTTGAGCAGAACTGCTAGGTAACATGAAGTTTTTCAATCATTTTATTTAAAACATCTTTTTACAGAGCTAAGAAGATATATGTTGTGTTGTGATATGTGCTCTTCAATTTTCCAAAATTACTATATGCTATATACCAATATCACCATATCTAAAAATTGCTCAGAGAGTATTGCTGTAGGCACAACAGACTGCTTATAAATGAAGTCTTAATATCAATACTTCCAAATACTGCTGACATTGCTTGCAAGCTAATGCATACTAACCTTTGCAGTTGATATTAAAGGTAACCTCCTCTTCATTCATTGTTTTCAATAGTTGCTGGACTTCTTCACTTTTTCCATTTCTGGCATAATGGAGAAGCTGCTGCTCTGCTTCTGTGTTCATCTCTGCTAACATACAGATATGGTTTTATTTTTATATATATCTGACTAACTTGTATCCTACCTTTCTGCTAAAGAAAGTATGGCTCAGGATACCTAATATTCACAAAAAGTTAAAAAATGTAGTATTCCATACAAATAATGAAATAGCAATAGTATTAAGGCATTACTTAGATATCAATACTGATTGTTATTTATTATTTATTTTTATATCAATATCCTGCCTTTTTACCTCTTACAAACCCAAAGTCTCCTCAAACAGAATAGTTTTCACCTGATGCAGTAGAAACCAAATAAACATTTAATTTTAATAGGAAATACTAGCCAACACCAATGAGTATTTGCACAAACCCATTTTAATAGGATATACTAGCTATTAAAAAAACCCATCCGTTCCACAAATCAAATACATTCCTGAGCACACCGCAGTCTGCCAGTTGTTCTTGCTGAGGTTCTATACTTCCCTGAAAGCAATTCTAGTAATTGGCAGAATTTTCTCAAGTTTCAAGAAAAGTTTGGAGGGGACAGGGGGTCAAAAGCTGTTGAAAGAAATTCTGTCAGGTATACAGAAGATCAGAGCACAACCCCTTAGATCTCATGTCTTCAAATAATTTTGCTGGAGGTTTTCCCCACATTAAATTCATCCAATCACACATATTTATATCCTTCAATTTTATGAAAGAATACACAAGTAGTCATGTGATTATACTGGCTATCACTGAATCATAATAGCTACAAGATAATAAAATTTAGGCCTATAGTCTTACTTAGACTCATTTTATGTGTTTGGTCAGGTATGTTGCTAATATAATTGTATTTGTCATATCACCAATGCAATTAGTTCAATATCATTTTTATATTCTTAAACGTACTAGAGTTCCAAGTGATTGTTACTTTCCCCCCATTTCCTCACACACATTCAAAAGAAGGTAGCATGTTTTAAAGAGTAAGTTTATTAAGTAGTTTCTGATTAGAGATACACATAATTACAAGATGTTCATCAACAGAAGCTACCTTAAGCAGCATGCTTTCAAAGACCCAGGAGACGGAATGCACTTTTTAAAAGTTATTGAATACATCACAAGACAGAATAAGTGCTAGATCTTTCAAAAAAGATCTAGCGGAAGCATCCAAATAAATAAATAGTCTGATTCTAAAAGAGACACTTCAGTTAACAGCATATAAAACAATGCACTGCTGCAAAGGAAAGCAGTCAACAGACTCTTCTATGGCTTTAGATAAAAGTGAAGCATTTCTTTAAACGTGTTTACCATGAAACATTCTACTGAATTCCAGTTAGTGTTCCATGCTGCCCAGCTGCCAAATGCCCTGAGGCATCTCACGAGTAAGCATCTGACTGGCACCAGAGAGAAGCAGGACGCTGGGCAAGTGAGCAGTTGGCTTGACCTTCTTCAAACCTAGACAAGTTTATCCATAAGTTTGGATACAGTTGAGTGCACCTCTTCAATTAACATTTAATTTGTGAACAGCAAAAGGTTTTTGCAGTAGCATTAGGAGCACAGGAAGCTGCCTTATACAGCCAGACTACTGATTCTTCTGATTCAATATTCTTTATGCTGGCTGGCAGCCGTTCTTCTTTGGGGTTTCAGATCTGAGTCTCTCTTAGTTCTGGAAACACCAGGGATTGAAGTGAGGACCTTTGGTATGCAAAGCATGTGCTTTATCACTTCCTTCTTGCTCCTTTCTTAACCTTAATCCATCTTTGCTTGCTTAGCAATTCATCCATCAATTCCAGCAGCAGAGTGAATTTTTATTCTGCTAATCTGCCACTATGTTCAGTCAAGACTGTGTTAAAACAAGGGCCAGGGAAAGAGCCCAAGAGTTGCCTTCTTTGAAATTCCTTATGAGAAAAGGCAGCTTTGGGCAAATATTTGGCTTCTAAGGGGCATCTGTTGTCACTTATTCAAGACTTCTTTGTTGAAAAGAATGTAAATATGAAAGATTATCAGATAATTTCACATCTCTTATTTGCTGCTAGAAGAGTAATAGTGTCACAATGGAAGGATCTTAAATTTACAGATTTGAATGGATGGTATAAATTGATATGGAAGATAGCAATAATTGTAGACAAATGTCCCACAAATGTCAGGCTATGGCAGGCCAATGAAAGTTTGATTCTTTTGAGAGTGTTCGGTTCCCTTTATTGAATATATGAACATAACTGAATATGAGAGGATGGTACCAGCAAGTTGTAAATTATAGTGGTTGGTGTAACAATTTCTATATAACAAACATGCATCTTGAGGAACTTAAGACTCTGTTAAATATCAGGCAATCTAGAGGTGGGGGGAGAAAGGATAATAGATAATGTTAAATGTACATATCCAAGACTAATCAATATAGTGAGGGTAGCAATACATGTGTAGAAGGCAAACCATACAGGGCCCAAATGGAGTATACTTATAAATAGTAGAGTGAACAGAAAAGTATGCAGTCAGGATGGTAGAATTTCTTTAAAAGCTACACGTGAATTACTATGGACCTAGCTATCAACTGGCAAACTTTTCGAGAATGTCATCAGTGTTTGCACAGTGACCTTCAGATCTATCAGAGAGTTACTATACATTGTTCTAAAATAGATCACACTGGCTACTTTATCTTTAAAGTTTGGGAGTTCAGGGTTGTTGCATAATCCAGATGGTGCTGGGTCTGCAACCACTATATACCTAGGAAATGACTCAAAACTTTCTTTTGAATAAGAAGTGTTTCCATTATATGGTATTAAAGCATACAGTTTGCAGAGCTAAATACTGAAAAATAAGACAGTAAATTGATTAATTCTGGAGCTCAGTGGTAAACATTAAAAGCTTCTTTTGTGGTTCGGCACAGGGTTAAAAACTTAGTTTTTTTAAAAAGACATATTGACATTGTATTTTCATCTTTTCCTTTGCAACTAGAACTAGTTTTTAGGATTAAAATATTTTAGTGAAGATCAGTCATATACTAGTAAATAGTGGAGGAGCTCATCATGGCAGTGAGCATATTTGTACAGTATGCTAAGCCACCTTGTGAATTAGGCACAATGAGTTGCTTGTTTACCAGACAATCCAAGGCATGCCTGACAGATGATCAGGTTCATTGTAGCTTGTTCTCCCCCTCCTTCCCATTCAGTTCTCCAGCCAATATCGCAGTGTCTTTCATGCCATGTTGTCTACCCTCCCTGCTCTGATTACTATGCATTTTTGTTTACTCCTCCCCCACAAAAAATAAAAATCTGAACATAGCACAATTTGTATATTTTAAAATATTTTCGCCCCCTGAAAGTTGTACAGGTGGAGTCATTTTTAAGTTATTCTCGGATGGTCTTCCACAACCATGCAAGTATGTCATCTTGCTTGGTCAATTTTCTTGGTTTTTTCCCAGCTGTCAAAGGAACTCATGAAGGAAACCAGTGAGAGATGGACAGGGTAAGACTGCATATATTGTAGACTAACTTGCACACAGTTGTCAGAGACCAATTGCCAAGTTGTCAGTGGAAAAGCTCTGGTAAAGTGGAAAAAGGAAGTGCACCAAAAATTTGTCTGGAGGACAATATCTCCACTTAGTGATACAGTCTTCTCAATTTTAAGTGTTGAATTGACAGTCCCCTATTGCAGTAATGGAACAACTATTACAGGTTCACAAAAGTCCCCTTCATTTATTTACCAGACATTAAATTTGTGTATATTTCTGCAGCAGTAAGTGCTCTAACAAGAGTCCCAAATGGGGTTACGGGGAGGGCAGTGAATACCTCCTCTTCCTGGGGTAACTGGAGAGTCAGGAAAGTTTGAAAAGGTGGAGGGCACAGAACTGACTGTTCAACACATAAAGAAGAAGGATCACATTTCTAAGAGGAAGATATTATTTGTGAAAAATAATCCATCCTGCAGAAAGTGTGCCAGGTTTGGAGAATGTTAACAACTTACCATGGCCACTTACTCATGGTGGGTTGTCATCCTGTGAGTTCCAGGTAAATGTGTGTGTACACACATCACAGAGTTACTGGTTACTTGGCCAAAGGTAAAGGAGGTATGACCAAAATATCAAAAATACCAGGCTAGTTTAGCTTAAAGCACTTAAGCTTCAAACACAACTAAGACTTCAGAGCTGCAGTTCAGCCTTTTTGAACAGCAGAAAAACTGTACAAAAGCTAGGAAATTACTGAATGGACTGGAGGAAGAGGTGGGGGCCATCTGAGTAATCCAGAGGGCCAATGTGGCCATCAGGACTGCGATTCTGCACTCCAAATTTAATGGGACAGGGAGAGGCGTTTTGGTACAGACACTTGCTTTTTTCATTGCACACACACTTCAAATTTCTCAAAAACATTTTAATAAATACCCAACTGTCATTCTTATGCAATTTATGACAAACGTGTTCAGCTTGTTCTGTCAGACTTCTGCAGAAATTAGTTTTAACCAGAGTCACCCTAAAGCTGGTCCTTTTCTTATGCTTCCCATGATAAAATATAGTATTTAGTTTATGTTGAGAATTTGGTTTTGGCTTCTGAACTAAATCATGAAGTTCCATTAGTCACGCCGAACTTAACCAGTGGGTTCACAACCATGATGCGATCCAGTGTCTGGAATTTACTGGTGCTAGATTCAGCAAAGTGGTGGGAAGAATGCTTAAACCTTGCCGTAATATTCTTGCTAGAGAGTTTCCATCCTTTGCATCAGGAAGCAGGGAACACTGGTGAACAGAATTACCAGGGGCTCTAACAGTTGGCTATACTGAAAGAATGATGCAGAGGCTATGTCAGTATGGGATGGTTCATCATTTGCCTAATCCCATGAAGTGTTGTGATTTCCATAAGGCAGGAGAAGCATAATGTATCATAAAAACACTTGTGCCAATAGTTTCATTATTCAATACTGGGCATGACGACAGCAAATGCTTACTCCACTAATTGCAGTATGCTGAAATTCCCTTTGCATTATTCAACAATTTCATCTGCTGACTAGTTAAGACCATAAAGATCATTTTTGCTGAAACTGAAAATTTCATATCCATCTCCTAACCTTTTGTCTGGCATATCCTACTGCCCAAATATGAAACAGAAAGTATCTAGAAAATTTCATTCCAGCAAACAGTAGAGACTTTTCAACTTTATTTTGGTATTTTAAGCTTCTAAAATATTCTATGCTCCTTCCCATTTGTAAAATGTGTATTTAAGGAGCTGGCCTTTATGGATAATCAGGATGTTGTTGCTCTAAGTAAGAGGCATTTTACGAGTTCCCTATAAACCATAACTTCACCCTTCTGAATATCTCTACTGGTGCTTTCAGAAAAAGCCTTTAGTGTGCAACTGTCTTGTCTCATTCACAGAATTGTACAGGTAATCTAGGGAATCTATTTAACCTGTAGCCTTTCCATTTTTCCACTCTTTATTTCATCCTTTTTCTTACCAGAAAAAAAATAAGGAAGAAGGAGCGAAATAGCTGCGTAAAGCTCATTAATTTTTAGATTCTTCTGTCCAGATGCATCCAACATATAAACTAGGAACAACTTAACATTCCCCCCAAAAAAGGAATGGAGTTCTGGGAATGTTATATTGCAGATAACTGTAATATGATAGCAAAGAGGAATTGTGTCCTGTCCAGAACCAATAAGGATATTTAATTCAGCCCTATTATTTCAAGAGAGAACATCTAAAAATTCTATATCTAATTTAAACCATGGTTTTATCTAGGAAGCTGCTTTATACACAGTGGGTATGTTTACACATAATGCTAAACAATGTTGCATGGTAACCACATGGCATGGAATCCTATCTTGCATCCTATGTTCATACATTGCATGGTTTCTAAGCATCTCCACTTTCCCTCCAAATGGCAGCACATATCCCATCAGCCCCCATGGTTGAAAATCGATCCCAGGGTACACCACTCCTGCCTGTCTCTCTGTCATTGGCCAACACATTCCCCTGGGGAGGGGGCTGTTCAGCAAAGCGACTGCCTACTTGTCAGAGTAGCACTGTTGCTTCAGAAGTGTTCCCCACTGCCCCCACACACCATGCCCATGCACAAACACACCCAGCCACACACCCACTTCTAACCACTCCCTGCACATGTATGGTGTCCACGCTGCAATGGGCTGCCACGCCCTGCAGTGAGGCGCACAGAGAGCATCAAGGAGGGCACAAGTCCTGATGATAGATGGAGCACATCCTGCTGGGTAGACTTTCCCAAGGGCATCTGTTTAAGCATCCACCCTGGAAGGTTTGCTGGCAGGCAACAGTGGGGCCTGTGGTGAGTCCCTGGAATTGTTGGGGACAAGATGGGAGCAGGAGCAAAAGAAAAGCAACAGAAAAGCAGGAGACATGGGCTCACTGGGATGCTCGCCCTGTTAGCTGCCTGAGTGCTCCTTAAGCACATGAGACCACAGGTTCCTGCAGTGGCACAAGCATGGTGCCACTTCAAAGGGTTGCTCCATCACACAGCTACAGCCAGGCAGGAGCACGAAGCACTGTTGCCTCTGTGGTTGCTGCTGCTGGAGGCAACATGGCGGGACAGGGTGGTGGTGCTGCTGCTGAGAGCTCATTACTGTGGCTGGGCACTGGAAAGTTGCGCACCAACAGAGAAGGCAGGCGAAGCAGCCTATCGGAGTGCAGCTGCAGCTGTCTTAGCAGCTGCTAAGCAGAACAGGGCGGTGATAAATGGAGTTTGGAGTGTCTGTTGCAGACATGGCTGCTCTTACCACCAAACTTGAAGGACAAAATGTGGTAACTGACAGAAACATTGTAACTGGGTCATACATAACAACAAGCAATTGTGAACTGTGGGAACCTTGCAACAAACTGGATACTGAAGTCATACAATGACAAGCCATGCCTATGTAGTTTCCAGCATGGCTTGCTGTTATGCATGTGCACAGCCAGTGCTCCTTAAAGCCCAATAATACTGACATGGATTGACAGTGACTCTCCAGGATTTCAAGCAGGAGTTTTTGGATCCCTTCCTGGAGATGCCAGGGATTAGGTCTTTCTGCATGCAAAGCAAAGCATGTGTTCTACTGCTGAGCGGCAGGCCCAGATTATTGTAGGTCAGGATATTGCAAACCTTAAATATAGTATTCAATCAATTGATTTACATCTCCATCAAATTATGGTAATTCAGTCTGTAGAGCTGTATGCTCTAAAACCTGTATTTAGGCAGATAACATGCTAAGATTACTGAATTCTGTGCCAATTATCTGAATAACTAAATTACAAGGCCAATTTAGCTCAAACTTTAGGAAAAATTCATAGCAGCAAGATTTTTTTTTCTTTTTGCCAAAAGAACAAATAAAACTTGGAATCACTTTCCTTAGAGGTTTTTATGCAACTGATTTTATCACCACCAATTCAGGTAAACCATCTTTTTTACAGGATAACAAGTTCCCACGATTTTAATTTAATCTGACATTCACACTGCTCCTATATACACTATATCTGACTCTCATTTTTATCCTATTCAAAGCTCTAGGAAAATACTCTGATATATTTGTTACTGGACAACAGACATGCCTTTTTTATTTTAAACACACATTTGAATCATTTTCTCATTTCAGGGCTCCCACATTTATTGTTAAGCGTGCTTGTGGCAACTTCATGTTGACCCTGCCATCTTACAAATGCAGGTAGTATTTATTGTAACCTGTCTTAAAGAAGTATTCAAATTGTAATAGACTGCACATTTTGTGACTATACACACGTTTTTATGTTAAGCACATCCCATCTGTGACCTAAAGAGGTTGCACAACCTGCTGCTTGCCAGGATAAGTTTTACAATAGTATCATGAATGTCAACACCCAAGAGTTGCTTGCTGACAAAATGTTCTTAATGCCATTGCATTATGGCAGTGACAAATTCAGCATCTGAAACTTTTGCTAGTATGGGTCCAGCACCAGCAAATTCTTTGTATTGTACTACTGTTCCAGGAGTTTTCTGGAACTCCTGTGTTCCAAAAAAGGAGTTGGCTATCCTCCTATACGCTACACTCATTCATAATATTCCCAACGCAGCAGGTCCGAACACTTCTCCAAACTTAGTACGAAAGATTAAGAAATCAACCACACGCGATGCTCGTGACTAGAAAGAAATGCCGCTCTCCCAGGGACGGGAAACTAGAAAACATGCTATCCTTTTAGGCAAAATCTATCAGAATCCTCTGCGGCCCATCACGGGATCCAGAAGCGTGCTGCAGCGCGCTATTACGCACAGCACCGAAAGAGCCACTGCTTGCGCACATCCAACGCGGACTTGTCCCTTCGTCTACCGCCAGCTGGAGCACGGACGGGAGCACCATACCCAGGCGGCGGCGCCGCTCAGCTGAGCTGGGCGCCGTGCCTGGGGGAAAGACCTGGACGGAGACCGCACGAACCGTCTCCAGGGAGGCGCTCCCATCGTTAACGCTGCTGCCGACGCAGAGCAGACAAGCTCCCAACTTCCGCGCGCAGCCCACCCAGCCAGGCGCGCGCACGCGGTCCCTGGCGGCCACGGCCGGCGCGAGCGCGCGCGTGTGACACACATTCACTCTCACTTTCTCCGCGTCTCTCTCCACCCTCTTTCTCACCGCTTCAGGCGGCGGCGCAAGGCCGGCAGCAATTCCGTTCGGCCAACCAAGGCCTCTTCTGCAAACGCGCCGCCACTCGCTCCGCGCAACCCTCCCCTTCGCCCCGCCCCTCCTGGTCTTTTATAGTTCGCACCCCTCCCCGCGCGTGCACGTGACCGCGAGCTGGTCCTTGCCGGGAGGAATCCTCGCTGCTGCTCCTCCTCCTTCTCCTCCTCCTCCTCCTCCTGGCCTGCCGAGAGAGACGAAGCTCAAAGGAAGCCGGCAGCGGGTGAGGCAAAGCTCCTCCCTGCGGCCAAGCCGTGCAAGGCACCCTGTCCAGGCGCCGTGGTCGCCCCGGCGCCGTCGTGAGAGTGCATCGTTCCGATCCGAAGAAACGGAGAAAGCGCCAGGCTCGCTCGCATGGGACAGGCTTGGTTCCCGAAGAAGCCCCGAGCTGACCGCTCTGGACAGAGCAGGATGTTGTGCAAGCTCGTCCTGTGAAGGACTTAGCATGTGTGCAATGTACCTATTTGTTTTCAGTTATGCTATCACTGACGTTATCCGTTTTTAAACTGAGCGAAACTCGCGAGCTCTCTCACCTCGAGTTACCTTGTGCAACTGCTGTTGAGTTTCATGGACCTGGTCAAATAAGCAGGCCCAGGATTGAGGCTTGCGGTATGCCCCAGGTTGTCTCAATAGAACTGCAATCCAACGCAGAGTAAAACCCGTTAAAGTAAGAAGTGGGCTGCAGGACATTGCTTCAGCGAAGTCTGCAATAAGACTGAATTGGCCAAGCGAGGAATAGCTTCGCAAACGGAAACATCCGCTTGGAGAATCCAAGCAGAACTCTTTCAGCCACGTGTAAATTCGGAATGTCAGCAAAACGTTCCAGGCGTGATGGCGGGGAGGCACAGAATGTACAATGATGCTATAAAGCCCTTTATTCTGGAAATATACCAGACAGCCTGCTAACCTATATAAACTTACCTGGGAGTTAGCTGCATTTAACTGCGATTAATTTTTACCTAGACATGTGCAGCAGTGTTCTGGAAATTTACGTTATGGATGGTTCCTTTATTTCTTCAACCTTTCAGTTTCCTTACATCTGGAACATTACTTACTCCAAAATTGTAAAAAAACCAAAAAACATATTTTTATGACATTTTTAGGTTATTCATAAAGCTGTTTATGGTATTCTAGTTTTTGTAAATGAATACAGTTTTGAAACAAATAATAGTAGTAGTCTGTGCAAATTTAAGTTTTTGCAAAATTTGGGGTTTAGCATTTTTTCTGCGCAGCTCATAACATGTTATGAATAAGTTGATTCACCAAATAATTTTACAAATGAAATTTTACTGAAAAAAATCTTCCCCCACCAACACGCTTTTACAACGTAAGTTTCAAGGTGTGTAAATACATGATTAATAAATATTTAAAGATCATAGAAACTAAATGAAAATTTGATATTTGCAAAAAAAGAAAAAGTAATGGAACTACTTAACTGACTGCTAAATTCTTATTTTTCTTTATATCATCTTTCTTAGTATGGGAAGATGGCACTGCTGCATTTGTTGTTGTTATGTGTCATCAAATTGTCTCCAATTTATGGCAACGCTATAAATAAAAGCCTCCCAAAATGGCCCTGTTCAGCTCTTATAAATATGAGCCTGTGGCCTTCTTTGAAGCCAATCCATCTCATATTTGGCCTTCCTTCTTCTGCCTTTGACTTTTCCTAATGTTACTGTCTTCTCCAGGGAGTTTTGCTTTCTCAAGATGTGGCCTATGTATGACAGCCTCAAATTTTGTCATTTTGTTGCCTTGGCTTGGTCTAGGACCCACTTGTTCATCTTGCTGCCAAATCTCAAACTGATTGCATAATTTGGCTCCTAATTTCTTATATGCAGTTTCTGCAGTAGTCCAAAACTGCTAGACTTCAGTGTTGCACTTGTGGCTTCAGTAAGGATACTTTTGCAACAGCACCCTGATACTGCTGAAACTGCTTCTGTTATGTGCCACAATAATGTGCCAGTGTTGAAACACAATTTCCATCTCTCATTAGATAAATTACTAGGTCAGGAAAAAAATGTTCAAGAGGAAACTGGAATATTACTTGCACTACATGTTTAACCTGCTGCTAGTATTGAGAAACCAGGGCGTTTCATGAGAAGATGTACTAAGTGTAGGGGGTTTTTGTTTTTCTTTTGTTTTTTGTTACTGAAATATAGTAGCCCCAGTACTGTAAAGCAACACCACAATGACGTGCTAAAGAACAGCACTTTAGGAACTTGATCAAAATAATACAGAACATTTATTTATATAGTAGTGCTCAGGCCTGACCTTGTCATCACGCAGGTTGTTGCAGCTCATTAGGTGGCAAAGCAGGAAGAGCAATGGACGGCCCCTTCTCCTGCCCCTGCTGCTTGCAGGAGGGCCTGCCGCCGCCTCCAGTGGGTGTCCTGGAGAGCAGCTGGCAGATTCTGCAGAACAATCCGCTGGACACACTGCCCAGCCACTGCTAGCACTTCTTCATTCCGTCATGGCAAGGTTGGCCACGCTACCCACCCACCTGCTCATTCGGCTGCTCTCACAACTGCCCAGCTGGGTGCTCACTTACCTGCTTGTCCCCAGCCATGGGGCTTCCAGGAAAGGTCAGGACACCTCCCATGATATCACAGCCAATCTATCACAAGAGCCCTGCTGGTGGGCACAAGGCAGACCGCCCAAGCAGGCAGTCTGGCTGAGTGGGCAGGTATGTAAGAGCGAGTGGCCAGGGGCAGATGGGCAGGCAGTGGCAGCAAGTGCAGCCTCAACTGGTACACTGGGCTAAGCCTGGTGCTGCTGTTGCCTGTGCAGAACTCTGGTGATCAACTTCTCAAGAAGGCTATCGGACAAATAGGAAAAGTGCATAAAATGCAACAGAAACTATCAAATGTATTTAATGCCTTGCATAAGTGAGAAGCATCCATTCCAGTCCTATGTGTGTTAACTTGGAAATGAGAGCTATTGAGTGCAATAAGCCCTACTCAAATGCATGAGAATATACAATTTCATCCTTGAAGAATCTGAACACTTCATTATAGAAAAAGAGTCAGGGACATCACAAACGCTTTTGAAACGTGAATAGAATTACTGCTATATTACAAATACAGGCAAATGAAATAAGCTCACAGCAGGTTGTAAACACAGAAGATGCAGCCAGTACATCAAAGCACTTATAAAGGAAGTTTCAGTGAAATAAAATAATTGAATGCTTGGTCTATGGAACCTTTCATCAACAGAATTAGATTTTTAAATTCTGATGAAGTTAAATAAAGCTGCATGCTTCATAGTCTTTCTTTTCTTGTGAATTTCATTATTTCTTAAAGTCAGGCCCATTGCTTTTTCTTTCACGGTTTGCACTATCTTTATGCTTATTTGCTGTCTCAATATGACATAGAAACAAGCTTTTTTGACACACACACACACACACACACACACACTCACATACTTTCTGTGTTTAGCATTACTATTCTAAACAGGACAAGTTAAAATTTGCTTGTTTCTTCAGGCACTCATACAATTAAGACTTCAACCTGTTTATCTGTTATGGCAATGTACAGGCAAATGGTTTTCCAAATGGTTTTCCAAAGTGGCCAAGACTTCACCATTTCAAGAATGATTGCTAAGATTTTTCAGAGGGAGGGAGGGAGAATGAGTCTAGAGCGGCTGTCATTGCCAGGCTTTGGGCAGCCCTGCATAAGCCACCATGCGGAGGGGAGGCATAACTCTCACAAATGCTGCTCTTACTTGAAACTGGCAGGCTTCCAAAACAATCTGCTGGGTGCTTTTGTTTCTCATGAACCTGTTCTTGAATGTGCTAGTATTTAAGACTAACAAGTTTCCCCATTGCATCCAAAATAGACATTTTGCACCTCTTGTTATGGTGAGATCTGTGGACTCGCTAAACGGGAATAGCACATTTCACCATATGGGAGATGATTATCTTGTTTTGGACATAATGATGACATGTAGGGAGCGGGATTATCTTTTAGAAACAATAAGCAGAGTGCCTACACCTGCAAATCTCCAAGGGCCTAAAAAAGATTCAGTTCAATTGAACAATATTATTGTTTGTTGTAGCAATTTACCATGCAAAAAAATCTAAATTACAGATGAGTGTTGTGTCTCCTTTTGGTAGAAAAATAAACACTTTTCATGTCTTGGCAAAACAGTTCTTTACAAAATTCAGCTTAAAAAATGCTCCCTACTTTATCGTTTGTTCCAAAAATGACAAAGTACAATGCTAAAAGCGATACTAACATTTGGAAAACATGCCATCAGCTTGTCTGTTTGTGCAGTAAACATTTCTGCCACAGATTTCCTGCCTGTGAACCATAGATATTGATCTATGAATACATGCTTCAGATCATCTATTCATGTCCTTGCTCCAGTGGATAGCCTCACTGGACATACTAACCCATACTAACCCAACTCAACTCAGCATTATCCATACTAATTTTATGAAACTCAACAACAGAATTGCTGTCATCTGAATTGCTGTGAGCCTTGGTTGCTGTGAATTCTTTTGCAGCAGCACTTTCATGGGTTAACACCTAACACAGCTTGCAGACCTCTTACCAAGTTTTGTTAAAGATGTGTATGTACAAGTCCTGTCCTAAATGGTCAGAGCTCTAAACCTCTTTCAAACTGATAAAACTATAAAAGCAAAACTGCTTGGCAATTCTCTGCTTCACAGAGACACAGGACATGGACACCCTAGCAATATTTTTTATTAGCTCTGTTGTGCTAAAGCAAAGTTTCAGTTATGTTCAGATCAAAAGATACAAACATACCTAGGGTCTTTGGACTGTTGTCTTGGAGTTTGCTGTAGATATTTTAGGAGCTAGAATCTTCCCAGGGCTGTATGCCAATAGTCCAAGGTAAAAAACACAGCATCCCCTGGTATAGTTCTATGATCGTAGAACATATATAATGTTAACATTTATCTCTAGATCTACCATGGAAACTTATGCTCATGAATGCCTAGTACCGACAAAGACTGTAACACAGCCCTGGAAATAGAGTGTATTTATGTTCTTTAAAAAATGTTGAGCAGGGAGAAATCTGAAGGTTAAGGAACTGCCTTACCCAAAGGACTGCTGAGGGACAAGTGGTGGTGTCATTTTCCCTTCCCCGCCCCCATTGTTTTCCTATCATTGTTACTGATAGGAAGAAAATTAACTAAAACAGCTTTAGGGCTGGAATAGTCCTTTCTCTGTTCTGGGGGTGTTCTGAGGTATTTTGTGGGGAAACGTCATTGAATGCTGCAAGAATACTCCTTGTGTGTTCTCCAGCTTCAGAGTAAAAATGTCAGAGCAGAACATTGCACCTTTCCACAATTACATGCTGGAGGTAAGTGAGATTGGGTTTCCCTCTCTGATCACTTTCTTTTTCTCCCTCTTTTCTTGGAAGGGAAGAACTGAAAAACCCCATGGTCTCTAGGGCACCCTCCTGGGGATCACAAGATTGCAACCTAAATCTTGCTCAATATCACCACTTTCTGCTCTACAAGTAGACTGCTCCATAGTTTACATCTCAGAATATCTCCAGGAATAGATATCTTATGCAACAGAACCCAGCTTGCTTTTGAACACTAATTTGAAAAAAGACCTACTAGTCAAACTTATTTTTAGAATTCTCACATGATTAAAACCAGCAAATTAATATTTTAAAAAGACAGTTTAGTATTATGGTTAGTGTTGGACTGGGATCCAGTAGGTTCTAGGTGACTTTGAGCCAGTCACTGACTCAGCCTGACCCATCTCAAAGGGCTGATGTGAGGTTAAGATTGAGAAGTAGAGGATGATAATGTAAGCTACCTTGAGTTGTCTGAAGGAAAAACAGCATGATATAAATATATTGTATGCTGTCCTATTATATAAAATAAATAATTTAAAAATGAGCAAGCATGCAGGAAAGCTTACTACATGAAATACAATACACATTCCTTAGTCATTAGAATAGTGCGCCCTTAACTTTTTCTATTGTAAGTTCATCTGTTGTCATACTGCATCAAAACTGAGGAAGTGTTACTTATTATCTTTCCTGAAATCATGTAATGTACACTGCAATTCATCTCCAAGGGCACTTCAGTCCTTTAGGAAATCCTAGGTTCATGTGAAGACATTAGATAACCATGTGTCATTTCAAATATCTAAATGGTCAACTAAAGTGGCCATACAGATGTGACAATGCAAGAACACCCTATGTGACGACTTTGCCAGGCATTTCAGGGAGAAAATCGCTCAGATTCGTCATGAGCTGGATTCCACTATTGATTCAGAGGTTTTTGGGGAGATACCAATGTCGCCATCTGGTCCAGAATTATTGGATGAATTTCAGTTACTGCAGCCCGATGACGTGGACAAGGTGCTTGGACGAGTACGTCCCACCACTTGCCTATTGGACCCTTGCCCGTCTTGGTTAATAAATAATCCCAAGCACGGGATTGGGATCTGGATCTTGGAAGTGGTTAACGCTTCTCTGAGGGAGGGTCGGGTGCCTGCCCCTTTAAAGGAGGCAGTAGTCCGACTGGTCCTGAAGAAGGCATCACTGGATCCAGAGATGGCCACTAACTATAGACCAGTGGCCAACATCCCGTTTCTGGGCAAGGTGTTAGAGCGGGTGGTGGCGGGACAACTCCAAGCACTCTTGGATGATTATCTGGACCCATTTCAGTCCGGCTTCAGACCCGGGTATGGTACTGAATCTGCCTTGGTCGCCCTGTACAATGACCTGTGCAGGGAGAAAGACAGGGGGAGTGTGTCCCTGTTGGCTCTTCTGGACCTCTCAGCGGCTTTTGATACCATCGACCATGGTATCCTTCTGGATAGGCTAGCGTGATTGGGGGTTGGAGGCACTGCTTTGCAGTGGTTCTGCTCCTATCTCAATGGCCGATTCCAGAAGGTGGTGCTGGGGGACTATGGCTCTGCACCATGGCAGCTATGCCATGGAGTACCGCAGGGATCCATTTTGTCCCCTTTGCTGTTTAACATATACATGATACCGCTGGGAGAGGTCATCCGGAGGTGTGGGCTGCGAAATCATCAGTATGCTGATGATATCCAGCTCTACCTCTCGTTCTCCACCAATCCAGGTGAGGCAGTGGCTGTGCTGAACCGGTGCCTGGCCGAGGTAATGGGCTGGCTGAGGGCCAATAAACTGAAGCTCAATCCAGACAAGACGGAGGTCCTGTTGGTTGGCGGATCGGGCTTCGGAGAGGGTGAATTGAACCTAGTCCTGAATGGGGTAGCACTCCCTCTTAGGGACAAGGTTCACAGCCTGGGAGTGCTCCTTGACCCAGAGCTTTCACTGGAAGCTTAGGTGACAGCAGCGACGAGGAGCGCTTTCCTTCAGCTTCGGCTGATTCATCAGCTGCGCCCCTACCTGGAGTACAACTGCCTCGCGACAGTGACACACACGCTGCTGACTTCCCTCCTTGACTTCTGGAACGCGCTCTACGTGGGGCTACCCTTGAAGACAGTCCGGATACTTCAATTGGTTCAAAATAGAGCTGCCAGGTTGCTGACGAGGACTGGACGTTATGTTCACATGACTCCAGTTCTCCGTCAGCTTCACTGGCTTCCCATTGAAGTCCGGGCCCAATTCAAGGTGTTGGTGATGACCTATAAAGCCCTAAACGGCTTGGGTCCTGGTTACCTGAAGGAGCGCTTACATCCATATATGCCCGGCCGCCCCTTGAGATCGGTGGGAGAGGCCCTTCTCCGGGAACCCTCCGTGAAAGAAATTAGGAGGGTGGGTACTCGGAGGAGGGCTTTCTCTGCGGTGGTGCCTAAGTTATGGAATGCGCTCCCCAGAGAGGTCCGCCTGGCGCCGTCGTTATTTGTTTTTCGGCGCCAGGCGAAGACCTTTTTATTTAAGCGGCATTTTAATTGTTAATATTATTGGATTTTATCTGGCCAGGGCGGCTTATTTTATATTGGTATTTGTATTTTTAACTTAATGTTTATATTTTTTAATTTAATGTTATAATTATTTTTTAACTTATTGTTGTAAGCCGCCCCGAGGCTTCGGCGAATGGGGCGGCATAAAAATATTTTAATAAATAAAATAAATATTGTCATTTCACAAAATGTCTGTAAATCAAGATTATTTATGTAAATACAGGTTATTTGAACATAAATATCAAACATTGATAGTGAAAGTCTACATAATTCTTTGAACAAGAATTCAGGAAAAATGCATGCCTACCATTCCTTTTCTGTAAAAGCTTGTGTTATATCTGACTCCAGTAGGTAACAGAATTAATTAAAGACACTTTGGAACTCAGGGAAAGACATGTTTTCTAAGTAGAATGAAAACCTTTGCAGATTTTATTTTACAAGTTAGGTGTCGCTGATTTAAGCCGGTCCATGTGTAGTGTTAGTGGATCAAGCTGATAAATGCTGATGTAAAGAGACCACTTAATGGGATCAATTACTTTGCAATGCGATGATGCACATATGGGATTCTTCCTTGTGTGACTTCCATTGTGCATGCATTGGTTCACATTTAGTGAGTCCCATGTAATTGCTTCCAAGAATATTGTGGGCTCTGGTGGGTCCAAAGTATGCCAGAGATCCTGTTGTGAGACAGACTGCATGAACGCACGCTGATTGTACAAAATAGTGCCTCCATCTAGAGGCTTAACATGTAGGTTGAAGTAGATGTGGTGGTGGTCATAGACAAAGTGATTACTGTCCAAGTATTCTACATGCAGTGTGTCATATTCAAATTTATCTGATATCTGCACTTGCCTATTTATCATATAGCACTATCAGACATGGTGCTGTCATGAAGACCCTACATAAGAGCGGGTTAAAACATGTAGTAAATGCATTTACACATGATGCAGTGCCTATGAAATGCTTACACAAGCACTTTTCCAGTGATAACTGTCACAGCTGCTTTTCCCCTGACAGCATGCCATTTCCTGTTTTTGATCTGCCAGTCAAACAAATTGCAAGCACCACATACCACTGCCACGTGGAAGTTATTTATTTAGGGTTGATCCAAACGTTTTTTAAAGTAGAGTCTGTTGATCCAACAAGACCACTTGCAAAAATTCAGAAGGCACTAGAATAGCAAGGTCCTTTGTTTAGAATCAGCGTAACTGTTTATTAACAGAGCAATCCTAGATATGTCCACTCAGAAGACCCATTGTGTTCAATGCAACTTACTCCCTGGTAAGTATAAGATCACAGTTTTAACAACAAACTGCTTTTAAACTGTTGCACTCTACACTGGAATAATAAAAAAACTTTATGCAGAGTCACAGAAGAACTCTATTGAATTCAAAAGCAGTTCTATTCTTTTACCATCGAAAGCTGAGCCTCAAAAATATACCGCCCTTGAACACCAATCCTCCTCCCTCGTTGACTTCGTATTTAATTACATTTCACTTTATTCTACCCTCCTTTTGCTTAGTTCTCCCTGCATTTTTGCGCCCAGATCCATTTCTTACCCCCTGAACCCAGCGGAGCACCGAACGGTTTCACTGGGGCCACTACGCATGCGTTACGTGCTGCTTCGCTTCTCCTTTGCGCTCAAAAAGAGCCCCCGCCTTTCCGCTCGGGAATGGCAGCGACTGACCCGGAAGCGGCCCAGAGACAAGTGAGTCCGTGTCTCCTTATGAGGCAGAAAGGCGTGGGGCAAGAAGGACCTTTAGATATTAGGGCCATAGGGCAGAACGGGACGGGCAAAGAACATAAGGTGTTCCTGTGCTTTGTGTTTGCTTGCCTAGGGAGGATAAAGATGCGGCTTGTTCACACGTTAAACGCATGAGAAAAGTCGGGTTGGGTCAAACCAAAGGTCTATGGGGCTCAGCGGCGACGAGGGGGATACTTCGTAGCTAACCCGCAAGCAGGGAATGAAGGCAAAAGCTATCCCTTGTTTTCCCCGCCGATTTCAGCACCTGGTATTCAGAGGTAGACTGCTTCTGAACAGGGAAGCTCTATATAGGGCGCAGCTCTATAAGAACTGTAAGACTTTCTTCTGTCTCAGCTTGCATAGGAGTGCATTCTTAGCCACCTTGCTAGCAGTTTTTGATAGACCTGCCCTCCATTCTCTTAATATCCTTTAAAAGCTGGCCAAGCATGTGTTGTGGCAAGAAATTAAGTAAATGTTTTTGTGCAATAAGCACTTTCTGTTCTTTCTGGAGAAGGTTGCGCAATATGTTCAAGTATTCCTAATGTACAGTATAAACTTGTATTTTCTTTAAGAAAAGGGAAAAAATCTACCAGACCTTGTAGTTATTTTCTTATAAGTTGTGCTGCTGCACGAACACATACATGCCTGGCATGATTAAAGGTCCAGTTTCTAAAGGTCTATATGCTCAGACAGAAAAAACTACAACATCCAGCATGACTGGCTAGGACTACTTCTTTCTAAATATGCATAGGATGACTTCTTAAGGCTGTAATTTTTATCCATTTACCTAGAAAGAAACCTCATTGAACTCAGTGGGACTTAGAGCTGAGTAGGCATGTACAGAATCTGTGCCAAGTGATCGCTCCAAATTAAGGTGTCCTTGGTTCAAAGTACTGCCTTCATCCATTTTTTTTGTTTGTTTGTTCATTTGCTTGTTGGCTCTAGATAACCCTTTACCATCTGCAGTAAGATGTGGTTTGGCTTATTTAAGTTGGATTTTGCTAATTACACATTGTTAGTTGAACTCAGTTGTACTCTAATTGCTTCTGCAGTTTTGGATGTGGCTGGTGCACTTGATGTCTGCTTCAGGACTACAGGCATTGTAGCTCAAACCTGATGGTTTACTTCTAATACATATCTGTAATATCTTGATCCTAAGAATCAGGTTTGTTGGGGGTAAACTCCTGATTTAGCTAAAGCATATTATCATTGCTCTGATTAGCTAACACATAGTAACTATTCCCCATTAGTTCTTAAAGATCTTTTAACCTGTTACTTATAAAAATCTGTGCTAACACTCTGCTTTAACATAAGGACTTTGGCAATAGGTTTCTTATTGCCCTAAGGTTTCTAAAGAAAGGTGCGTACATAACTCATGTCCCTGAATAGGTGGGAGGAGTTAGTATTAATTCTGTATCACCAAAATTATGTTTGGACCTAGTACCATACAGACTGGACAAGTTGTGATTTAACTGATTATATGTAATCTTGGGAGTGAGTGTAAAAGTGCAGAGAATCTAAGAGTGGGTAGATTCCCTCAAAGGGTCTTAAAGATGCAAAGCTAAGCAAAGTTAGCATTGCAGTCCTGGAGAAGAGATGTTGCTTTATGTAACTGATTCTTAGATTGCACAAGATGTGTTTTTAACAACTGAATGTTGAACATAGAATATTTAGAGACTGGTATTGATCTGTATGTCATGCCTTACAGTAGCAAGTTCTGGCATCTGAATATTAATGTATAGGGTGAAATAACATTCTTTTTTTTAAGAGGGAGGAAATTGAAGCCCTGTCTTCTATATATGGTGATGAGTGGTGTGCAGTTGATGAAGATGAGAAAATATTCTGCATTAAGATTAGCGATTGCTTGGAACAGCCAAAGTGGACTCTTTGTCTGCAGGTGGGTTTGTTGCATAATTTTGCTTAGAGTTTGCAACTTGATAGTCTCATTTGAGTATTTTCAAAACTATATGGCATGCTATTTTGCAAACTTTGTTAGAGTGTTCTTTTGCATTTTAAAATATTGCTTTCTGAATTTTCTCCTCAATTTTAGGAATGAAACAATCATAATGTTTGTGAGCCAGGGGAAGGGGCTGTTTCAGACTCCTCTCCCTACTATAATCAATGAAAGAAATCAAAGTCACATTCCATTTGGCTAAAGCAAACCCCTTGTCTGTTAGGTCATATATTTTAATTTGAAGCAATCTAAATTTTCACTTTGTATGTAGAGATTTTACACAGGAAGACTGACTGAACTGGAAGTGAAGTTTGCTTCACTTCACTTAAATTTAGTGAAGATGAGGTGTTTCTTTGGAAGTTTTTCCAAGTTGCTGTCCTTCATATATTTTGGACACATCAGCCCTTAGTGGCCTGAACGATCATGACGAATACCTGGAACTGTAGTGCAAAACATCTGGAGAACACCAGGTTGGGAAAGACCAATTGACAGTTTGAAGGTAATTCTTGGTTATCCCTGATTTTGTTTTCTCTGTGCTCAACTAGACTATTGTAGATTCTGTTCCTAAAATATAGGTCCTATCCAGAGCTTTATGCACATTTGCAAGCAAATGTACTATTTCCGTGTTATGTGCCATCAAGTCATCTCTGACTTATGGTGGCCCTATGAATGAAAGTCCTCCAAAACGGCCTGTCCACGACAGTCCTGCTCAGCTTTCTTTATGGAGTCAATCCATCTCATTTTTGTTCTCCTTTTCCTACTTTCAACTTTCCCTGGAATGATAATCTTTTCTAGAAACTATGATTTTCTTATGATGTACCTGAGGTATGACAACTGCAGCTTTTTCATTTTTGCATCTAGAGAAAGCTCTGGCTTGATTTGATCTCTGACCCCTTTGTTTGTCTTTCTGTCAGTACAGGGTATTCTCAAAGCTCTCTTCTCCAAATTATTTCATAGCTTAGTTAGCAGATGGGACAATTCTTGTCCATGTGAAGATGTGTGCAGAGTTTTTATATGTATTGATGATTTGTTCCCTTTTGCATTCAAAAAGTAGCTCCATATGTTGCACTGCATTGCAAACAACTCTTGACGCATCTATGAGTTTTAAAAGCATTTTTCTCATATGATATACACAAATGTTGTTAAAGATTCTGAAAGCCTTAACTTATTGCAATGTATCTCAGTTTATGGTATGTTACCTGATATTTTAGAGTTAGACAACTTAAAAAAAATATTTCCCTTGTAGGTCAGAATTTCTATTTTTCCAAATGTATTTTAATGTCAAGATAGTTTGGGGCTTATGATTTCTGTATGTTTACTTCTGTTGTACATATAGTGCTACTGCTAGAATAGAAAAAAAATCAAATTTCATCTTATTGGAGCACCAGATTAGGCATGTTACAGAATTGACTAACATTGTGATTTTGTGTTCATGCAAAAGCAAGCCCCACTTTTATTAGCACATAGGACTGTAGACTAAGACTGTGTGTACTCATGTTTCTGCTTTAGCACATCACATGTTTTTAAAAATGTTTTGCATTTTTAGCTAGTTCTGAAAAATCTCCTTGACTTATTTACTTTAAAAATCTTTCAGGTAAACCTGCCTCCTGAATATCCAACAGCCGCACCACCTATTTATCAACTTAAGTAAGTAACAGCGCTTTTCAAAAATATTAAGTGTGCATGCATTTCTTTTAAGGTCACCATTATCTTGTGATGATACTGTATACCATGTAATCATTTGTTAGCTTAGCTTAAATCTGACAGCAGCGTTGTGCTCAATTCTCCACATCCGTGCTGTCTCAGAAATATGTAGGGGGCTTGTTTCTTCTGTCTGTAATACATATCTCAGAGCGAGTGTGGTATAGTGGTTGAGAGTGTGGGTCAAGGACTCAGGTGACCTGGGTTCTAGTCCCTGCTCAGCTGTGGAGGCAGCTGGGTGACCTTGGGCCAGTTAAAGACTCTCAGCCCAACTTATCTCACAGAGTGGTTGTTGTGGGGATGAGGTGGAGAACTGAAGAAGAAGAATGATGTAAGCCACTCTGAGTTCTTTAGCCAAAAAAAAAAAATCAGTATATAAAAAATAAATAAATAAATGCTACCTGAAAACTGAGCCATTGTGAAAGCAGTGGGGAATTGTAGGCTTTGAAAAAAAACCCAAGAGCACGTTTCTGTGGTTGAAATCAGTGTTGGCTAAATCCAAACTTTGCTCCCTGGGTAATGTTTCCACATGGAGAAGAGTGCATAGCAAACATGAATGAAATGGTAGGTGTTTGGACAAGTAAATTAAATTAAAGCAGCCAAGCATTTTTGGGGAATGTGATCACAGTGAGGCTAAGTAGGAGATGGTTTGAGTGCATTAAAGAGGGAAAACTATAAAATAAACATTGATGGCAATTTAAATGGACTGTTGAGCAGATTGTGCCTTGTTTTTTTTAATAATTGGGACAGTGGAACTTCATGTTACTGCAATTCTGTCTCCTAAGCTTGGAGAGTTTTTCTTTAAAGAAATCCAACAAATCCTAAACCATGGCTGAATATATGTGTAGGAGAAAACAAGTGAAACATGCAAGTCAGACAAGGCTGTAGCTAAAGTTAGAGCTATGGAACATAACATTAGAGCTCACACTCTTGACTATAAATATAACCCTTGTGTGTGAGGTGCAGCAGGAATTGCTCCAGAATTCCTGGTGTGGTTCTGTGCTATGAACCAAGCATTGCTCCCTGTTCTTCCCTCCCCATCCCTCCTTAAATACGCAATCCTATGGATGTTTAGACATAAAAAAGGTCCACAGCTCCAGTCATTCTTCTGGAAGTTGTAGGATTTATTCTATTTTAACATGAATGGGCCCTTAGTGACTGACATCCATGCACACAAACATATGGCTGTGGATTCAATGTTGGTTTTTTAGCCCCTTCCTCTATGCTTTGGGCAGTTTCAGTTTCTCCTCCACCCCTGATTCCTGGCAGTTTTAGCAGGTCATGTTAATTTTGTGCTTCTTAATATTTTCTTTAAATCCAGTCTTTATTTTTTAAAACCATGGAATGCTCATGTGACAACAGAGCTGCTGATTAACACAGTGCACAGTTGCCCTTTATGGTAACAGGAGAAACTAAGTGTTCCTGAATTTACTTTCTGAAGAAAATTGTGTTTCTGTACTAAAGGATGAATCTGGATCCACAGCAGACTGAAAAGTAGGCAGGAAGTGTCCTGCTTCTGCTGAATCTTCTCCCAGTTATTTTCCCCTATGTTTCCTGATAATAGATATTGTTCCAGCTTAAAATGGAGAAGGGAAAGTAAGATAGTCTTATTTTGCCAGAGCTTCTAAATGACATACACTGCAATTCTATATGTTTTTCTTAGAAGTAAGCCCTACTGTGTACGGTGTGACAATCTTAGATAAGTGTGTACAGGATTGCAGCTTTAGTATCTTTAAGACGAAAATGTTTTCTAAGTCTAAATATACTCTAAACTGTTCATATTTATTCCAGTGCTTCATGGCTTCAAGGGCAGGAGTATGAGGAACTTGCAAATCATCTGGAAGATATTTATATGTAAGTGTACATAAACCCCTAGACTACTTTAATATACTGTCTATTACACTTATATTTTAAATACTCAGATACTGTCAAAGTGTTATTTGCCTAACTCCAGCAGGTGGCAATAATGTGGCAAAAACAGGATGAAGCAGGAAATCAAAATCTGTGGATCTTATTCAGAAGATGCTCTCTTCCCTAGGGTCACAGTAGTTACAAATACTGTGATTAGAAGAGTTACTTTAAGAACAATCCATAGGATTAAAAGAATTACTTGAGGTACACTCAAAGGATATAGCATTTCTTCCACTTTTCCTCAGCAAAAAGGACTCACATATGTTTCAGACTGATTTGGAAAGCTGACTTATTGCCAAGTGATAACTGTAATGGTAAGCTGACAGATATTTCCTGCTTTTTTTGACCAACTGGACTACATACCACACAGATGTCTCCCGGCACTTCAGATCCTGGCCAGACAGAGGATTTCATGTACAACTACTCAAATATGGGGAATAAAACAAGTTTATGGAAAAGAATAAGTTTATTTAAAGAATAGGGGTGGAGGAGAGATAAAACACTATGGTTAAATGGATAAAACAGGGTAAAATGGGGAAGGGATGGGGAAGTTGGATAGCAGCATTTTTACTGATCAAAGCCAACCAAATACCTCCCTCCCCAGTGCTGGGATCTTGTTGTGTCACTTGGACCCAGAAAATAAGAAAGCTAACTCTCTTCTAATCTGGACATGGAATATCTACCTTCTACAGCATTGTCAGCAGCAGGGCATCACAGGAATCTTCAGCACAGGTAGCAGGTTGGAACCCCCAAAGAAGTGCAAAGAGCTTCTCAGCTGCCTAGCCATTATCCCCACCACAGCAGTCCAGCTGACCCATGGAAGATGGCTTATCTCTCAATCCTTTGATGCCACCTGTTTGTTCCAGGTGCTAGCAGTTAGCAATTTGGTCCTGCCATCGCTGGTGTCCTTGAGTCCATAGCTCTGATAACTAAAGGGAGTACATCACAAAGGAAGTAAATCACTCCCTAGACCTTGGGCTTCAGATTCCTGCTGAGCTGGCTCCAGAAGCTTTAACACTGATCTGGTGCTTGACGTTTTAACTCTTCCTTATCTCAGGAGCTACTGATGTACCTGTACTTTTACGTTACAATAACAACTTTGTGTGACATGGATGGCTGCCATTTGAGAAACGGGACCCTGTTGGACTTATTTCAAATTAACTTGCATGGCATTGTACTGTTGTGCTATTTCCATGTAAGACGTCAAGAACAATACAGGGACCTCTACATTTTCTTAGAATGGAAAATTTTTGCATGTTTAAGACTCCTAAACAACATGGTGGCCTGCAATACTTGTATAATGGGCAACGCCCAATGTTGCCACAACATTAGTGGGACCAGCTGCTAGTGTAGTTGGAAACCAGTTTCCCTGAAGCATTTGAAATTGGGCAGGTCAGTGTTGCTTGCAGAAAGGACTTTAGCTGGACTGCTTATTCTTTGCTAATTTCCAAGGTGGCCTTTGGAAGTGCTTATCCCTGTTGTGCTTGCAGTGGTTCTTCTGGTGCAATGTAACAAGGGGAGGTATAGCAACAGTATTAGATATCTCCATGTATGTATGATCTAATAATATGTATGTTGTCTCAGACAGAACCTTGGTGAAAGTATCCTTTATCTTTGGGTGGAGAAGATACGGGAAGTTTTGATTGAAAAATCACAGTCCTGTGATTCAGGTAATATACCAAGCATTTTATGATTCACTTTGCAAAAATACAGTGCAGAGTACACTAAGCCAGTAAGTAAAGAATTTTGATCACTATTGAGCCAATATCTGCTCACATAGCTTTGTGCCATTACTGAATTATTTTAAAAAAAATAAATTTTAGCCACTTTGGGCATGGTGCTGGAAACTGCAGAATGTACTTCTTTGAAATCCTTTGCCTGGTACTTATATCTGGTCTTGTATCTAGACATGCCCATTTCCAGAATCCCACCCTGTCACCTTGAGATGGAACTTAATTGGATCACACAGCAGATCATCAACTTGTGGCTGGCCTGCTTTACAGGGATAAGAACTCAAGAGCTATTTATTAGCCCTGGGGTTCATCTAGCCCAGCAGTTCTGTTCACATAGCAGCCATCTAGCTGCCCACGGGAAACCCATAGGCAGGGCATAAGTGCAACAGCACCCTCTTATCTGTGTTTCCCAGCAACTGGTGTGCATCATCATACTGTCACACCATGCATAATTGTGTTCGTCTCTCTTCCTTTTTTCCTAAACTAAAAGTTCCTAGTTGTTATATTGTTTCCTCATAGGAGAATTACTCTAGGCTCTTGATCATTTTAGTTGCCCTTTTCTGTACTTTTTTCCAACTCTGCAATATCCTTTTTAGGTGCAGTGATCAGAACTGTAGACCATAGTCATGGAATAAAAGGAGAGGTGAAGTATGCATGAAAGCTGCGTATCTCCCTGTTTTGACTACTGTCAAAAGTCGGTGCTCCCATAAATGGGGTATCTTGTCCTTTCCCACTTTCCTGAGCTTCTAGATTTTCAGGAAAGGGTGGAAAAGGTGAAAGACACTGATACAAAGAAATCCAAACAAAGGAGAAAAAACCCCCAGAGGATCTCTCACGATAAAGAAAGATCATACCATCTCCTTATGTAAGCAAATATCTTCTAACAGCTTTGCTTTAGTAGGTCTCAGGTAAGCCCAAGGAACAGATTAACGTATGTGTAGATTCTCTTGGTCACGCTCATGATCAGTACCTGCTTTGACAGCAGAGTTCCCAGGATATTGTTTTCATTTTGTGCCCCTGTTAGTCTGCAGGTGCATGCTTCTAGAACATCCCCAGCTTTTAAATACATTTACACAGATGATGGGACTTGGGGAAAATGTGCAAAATGTTCCTAGAATCTGGAAAAAAAGTCTGGTTAGGTTTGTGGAACTCTGAGTTATAGTGGCAGATAACTTCTTAAGCCCTGAAATAGAAGGATTTGCTATAACTAAGAAACCCCATAGATGGGGCTGTCTACTGACAAAGCAGTTTCCTCATAGTTGTGGAACGCTGGGGAGAGAAAATCCCCCACATCTACATATGCAAATGTTCATCCTATGTCCCTTTAAAATGTGAAAACACAATGTGTGCAATGAACTTCTTCACACTTTAACTTATTTCTACTTGGACAGCACTTGAGTCTGGGAAAAATAATGCAACTCATCCGTTGGCAGAAGGGCAGCTCAAAACATATCTAAAATATTTTATAGGCAATTATCTATTGTTTTGATATTAGTAATCCCTTCTGTTTTGTGAATTAGCTTTTTTAGAAAGTAAAGATTGTATACATTTATCACAGTAATTCCAGTTTTGTATAATTTCTTATTTAAGTTACACTTCGGGAGTTATTCAGTACAAAAATTGCATTTTATCATTCATTTATCCATAGTTGCTACCATTTCAAATAGTTGAAGACATGAAAAAAGCCTATTAAAATAGGTATTGCTTTTATATCAGCAGGGCCAAATATTAAAAAAATTACAGAGGAAACTGATGTGGAGTACGAAGAAGATTTTTCACTTGAGTATCAGCTTCTCCAGGAATATACAGCTGCAACACCCAATATTGATCTACCTGAAAGCCAAGAAGGTAGAGCAGCTTTAGCTGTTTTATCATGTCTCAGTTGTTATGCTCTGTGTTATAAAGAAATTTTGAGGCAATGTAATAAAGAAGAGGCAAGTACATTGTAAACTATATGAAAATTACTTCATTGTCTTCCATTTGAACCTTTGTTAGATACCTCCAGAATGTTACTGTGCACAGGCAGTTCCTGAGTTACTCATGAGCTTTGTTTCTGAGAAAATGGAAATCCATCTTTAAGTCAAATTTGTATAAGTCAGATCACGTATAGTTGCCCCTCTGCATTTGCAGGGGCTGGGGGCACAGGACTGCCATGCAAGTGGAAAAACTGCAAATATCTCTAGTCCTCTTGCCCTCGCCCAAACTCACCAGTGCCACCTCTTTGCAGCAAGGAAATGCTGCGGAGATTTCTCTCTCCAGATGGGCAGGGGTAGGAGGCCCTGATTTGAAGGCCTCTCTCTCCCTGCCCTTTCACTTCCTCTCTATGGTGATGACAAATTTTGGCAGTATTTTTTTAAATTAATAGGCTTCAGGACAGTTTAAGTACAGGTTGTTCATAACTTGAACATTCGTAACTCAGGGAATGCCTGTATAACAGAAAAGCAATATGATCCTGTAGTTAAGAAATGTGCATTGCAAAATTGAAGGGGAAGAGCCAGGGGTAGAATTTCTTTGGCAGAGCCATGTTGCATCCACATATTGGGTGCGGACATCTAAACTGAGGAAATGTTTGCACATAAATCTTCATGGGAGCTGGAACCTTAGTTGCACTGGGTTCCAGCTACTACAGAACATTATGTATGTGGAGGTCTATTTATGTGGTTTTCCTGGCTTTGTTCCTCCTGTCTACACATGGACCCTTTACAAAATTAATGCATGAAAAAGTTTTAAAGTGGAGGCTGTCACAGGTATGGGAATTGGCCTGTCAGATGGAATAGTGGTGGGGTGATAATCCTAGATGAGATAGTTCTGTGTG